TGTTAAACAAAAATTGTGTGTATAAAAATGCTCTCCTCCATTTAGCTCAGTCTTCAGCCACAGCTACTGCTTTACTGGCTTGATCCTTGTGGCACAAGTTTCCGAGGAAGCTGTGGGTAGAAAGGGGAAATCCTGGGATGACAGGCACTCGCTGCATCTCAGAGTGTGGCAGTAGGCTTGCAGGTGCAGGTGCTGTCTGAGCTGAATGGTGGGATGCAGCCATGGATCTCAAAACATAGCAGCAAAGTGGTTCCTGTGGGTAAGCAGTGCAGTGAGGAGGGGTCTTCTCACACTGTCCTATCGCACGTGCACTTGACCTTTGTTCATTTCTTTCCAAACCCTTGGTGGAGATTTAACAGCTGCCAGGAGTTGTCCTCAGGAACATCAGTCTGAGGAGGCTTCATGCTGCCATCACAGTATTTTTCTCTTCCTGTTGCTCAAAGTCCCTGTGTCCCTCTCTGTCCCCTCCCTGGTGCAGGTGAAATTGGTCTCTGGTCACTGGTGGTGCTGGCTATTGAAAGATACGTAGTGGTCTGCAAGCCCATGAGCAACTTCCGTTTCGGGGAGAACCACGCCATCATGGGTGTTGCCTTCTCCTGGATCATGGCCTTGGCATGTGCGGCTCCCCCGCTCTTCGGCTGGTCCAGGTAGGGGGGGCACCAGGCCCAGCGCAGGGGGCGTGGGAGCCTGGCTGGCGGCTTGGCTGTGTCTTCCAGCCTATCTCCTCTGCTGGGCACTGACCTGCTGGGCTCACCTTGCAGGTACATCCCCGAGGGCATGCAGTGCTCATGTGGGATCGACTATTACACTCTGAAGCCAGAGGTCAACAACGAATCTTTTGTCATCTACATGTTTGTGGTTCACTTCATGATCCCGCTTGCAATCATTTTCTTCTGCTACGGGAACCTGGTTTGCACTGTCAAGGAGGTGGGTATCTGCCAGTGACAGTGGGCCGAGGGCCATCTCCATCCCCAGTGCTGGCAAAGGGCCCACACCAGGTTCCAGACTGGTGATGGGGAGGGCCTTCCAGGGGCCAAGCTGGCCCTCCATGAAGAGGGAAAGAGCAAATTCCAGATGCGCAGCTTGACTTCCATGAGCCCTCACCCCACATCCCTGCCGGCGCAGCACTCTCTGGCTCCATTAAATTTCCATTTCCTTCTGCCCACAGGCTGCTGCCCAGCAGCAGGAGTCTGCCACCACCCAGAAGGCAGAAAAAGAAGTAACCCGCATGGTCATCATCATGGTCATTTCCTTCCTGATCTGCTGGGTCCCCTATGCCAGTGTCGCGTTCTACATCTTCACCAACCAAGGATCAGACTTTGGGCCCATCTTCATGACCATCCCGGCATTCTTTGCCAAGAGCTCCTCCATCTACAACCCTGTCATCTACATTGTAATGAACAAACAGGTAAGTGGCAGGGGGTGAGACAACTCCTTTTTTGTCTTTCAGTTTATAACACCTGGCAGAGAGTTACGGCACCTCAAGCTGCCAGTGGGCTGGAGGGGGGGTTGTTTCCAGGTGATCTCATCCTGGTACATGGGAGGGTGACTGTGCAGCTCAGCCTTGGCATTGCATAAATCTCACGAATGCAAGGCCATCCAGCCTGAATTGATGCAGGTGCTGCGTTGATGGAGGAGCCAGGGCTTTGGCAGGCAGGGCTGGCAGCAGCCAGTGGGGCAGGAGACTCCATTGGTGTGGTGCCTCCTGTGCTGTGGTGCTGAGGGCTTCCAAGCACCTCTGCTGAACTTGGAGACAGCCCTGTGGGCAGAGCTGTCCTGTGTCCGCCTGCCTCACACTGGGCTTCCCTCTCTCCCAGTTCCGTAACTGCATGATCACAACCCTCTGCTGTGGCAAGAACCCGCTGGGAGATGAGGACACGTCTGCTGGCAAGACAGACACCTCCTCCGTCTCCACCAGCCAGGTCTCTCCTGCGTAGGCCCCACCTGGGCCAGTCCCTGGGGTGCACGAACTTAGTCCCACCGCTGTCACCACCTGCCCCTGCTTCGCCACGGCCAAGGCCCTGTGGGGCGGGCTCCTCTCTCCTGGCACTAGGAACCCTGGGAACAAGGCTGAAAATGTGTACACACGTTTTGTAATTAAAATGCAAAGATTTAGCTCCTCTGGCGTATATCCGTGAGTTTCTGTTGACTTGCTGAGAGCTCGTGCCCCTGCTCTGAGTGCAGATCCTGGGGCGGACAGCCCTGCCATGCCTGGGCCGTGGCAGAGCTGCCCTCGCCTCTCTCTCCCACATCCTGCCTCTGCTGCTGCCGGGGCCGCAGCTGGGCCACCTCCCGTCTCTGCTGCCGGAGATGAATCCTAGCCAGTGTCACACAGCCGCTCGGTCCTGCCGCGCTCCAGCTGCCCGGAGCAGGTTTGGCTGCATCGAGGTGCCCCCGGCCCCGTCAGGTGCTACCAAATTCAGCCCTGCCCCACCTCCAGCCTGTCGGAGCCCGCGGAGGCGCCGCGTCCCCTCCGGGGGACAGCACAATACCGGTGCACGTGGGCCCTGCTGTGCTGCAGCGGTGAAGGTCGTGGATCCTGCCCAGCAGGCAGGAGCACGGAGGGCCCTGCGCACGTGCACGGCAACGACACGGCACGGCACGGCAAGCGGCACGGCACTGTGGACAGAGCTTGCACCCTCAGCAGCAGCCGCGCTCCTCATCCCCCAGCACTCTTTCCCACAGTCCCACCCGTCATCCTTAGGCATCTTTGGACCCCCTGGGCCAAGCCCTCAGCACACTCCCCCGCACCCCTCTCCATTTCAGCTGCGGTCAGTTTGGCCTCTGCCCAAGAGGAGGTTTTGGGCAGCTCCTGTGCTGTTGAGGCTCGCCGGGTGCAGGGCTGAGCTCCTCCCGCGCCGCAGCAGGCAGGACTCAGCAGCATATGGCTCAGTGATGCCAACATATGTTCAAAGCACTACAAGATGGCATATTGCAATTGTAGCACTGTTCTTCATTTTTATTTTTAGCTCAGTTACACAAATAAGATGTTTTTCTTGCTGTTCAGTGTTATCAACATTTGAAACTATTTTTGTACATTATTATCCTCTCTGATTTCTAATCCTATGCAGCTTTGCAAGGACTAATAGGGAACATATAGAGCCCATGCAAGTTAAACCCTTAATAAAGAGCAATTTGCAAGTACAATTCTCTCATTATTTTTTTTATCCATACTTCTGCATATTCAGTGAAATCTAAGGATTAGAGTTTTATGAATAATTCAGTGTTTAGGCTGATGTCTGATTCATGTACTTCAAATCTAGGAGGCGGTTTTGGAGGGAAGAGGAGGAGGGATTTGGTGTTTATTTGCTGTCCGTGAGGCTGTGCTCCAGAGGAGTGTGGCAATGCCTGGCACCGCAGCTCGCCTGCCCGTGCAGGACCAGCCCCAGCACACAGCCTGGCCCCGAGCCTGCGGGCTGTCACTCCTCACCGTGCCCAGCCCTACAGCTACTGCTGGTGGTGCTGGTGGCAAGCAAGGGTTTGGGACCCCCCCTGCCAGCTCAGCTGGGTACCAGAGGCATCACAGAGCTGCCAGAGAGGTGATGGATGGATCCAGGTGGAGGATGGTGCCAGGCCCTGCCTCCTTCCAGTGTCCCCACTGTCCGCTTCCTGGGGAATTTGGAAATGGACTGGAAATGGAGCAGGGAGCAGGCTGGTGCTGCTGGTCTGGGGGGAATTGGGCATGTGGTGCTCCAGGCATTCGGTCTCTCTCCCAGTTGCCAGACCTGCCTCCTGCTGCCACCTCAGCCAGGATCTGGCCCCCGGGCTCAAGTGGTGGGCACAGACCTTGATGAAGGTCTCTGTGGGCAGTAGTTTGCAGGTCCATTGCCATGGTGACAGGTCTGCTGACGTGGCCAGGAGCCAATCCTGCCATAGTGTAATCTTGGTTCACAGCTTCCTCACCTTTCAGACAGACAATGCACACGGAAGCCCTGTGAGTCTCCTGTGTACAGAGGGAGGGATTGATGGGGCACTGGGGAGGAACACAGCAGTCCCCCAGGTGGGGACATTTGTGCTGTTCCTGCACCAAAGAACCTTCAGTGATTTACTCGGGTGGCAGCAGAGAGGGGACGTGGAGGGGACATGGCTGTCCGTGTCCGGGGCTGGGAGTGCTCTCCCTGAGCATGGTGGGATTCAGTGGGCAGGGACGAATGGTCGTCCTGCTCATGAACATGGTCATGGAGATAGTGGGGGGGAGTCACTTTGCTGATTAACCAAGCAGCTCTTCATTTTCCTCCTCTCCTTTGTGCGATTGTTTTTTCCCCTCCTTATCAGACCCCTGCTTCTCAGTGAAGCAAAGGGAGAAAGCACATCCCACCAGCACACTGGGAACAGGTCTGTGTGGGCCGCACACTGCAAGCTGGCTCCTCGTGCACCCCACAGCAAATGCTATCAGCAAGCTGCCATCCCAGCACCCCAACACCCACCCAGCAGTGGGTGGGTGCCTTTCCCCTGCCTGTTCAGGGTAATCATCCCACACACTCCCAGTCTCTCATCCCTCTCCAAACTATCTGCTCAGGTCTGCCCTGAGCCCCTCCAGCCCCACACAAAACTCTGGCAAAGGGCACTTGAATTCCCAGCTCCCACCTGGGACGAGATCAGAGCAATTAGCAGCTGCCAACCAGCTGCCATCCAGGCTGCTCATGAGATAAATTGCAGGGAGGTGAGGTGGGCCTAAGGAGCAGGGTCAGTGGTGCTGTAGGTGGAGCTGCCTGTGCCCAAGGCTGTGGGCTTGTGTGTTCTGCTATGGAGCCTCAAATGGGTAAGGGGTCTGCAAGCGCTGCAGGGTCCTGCAGAGCTGGATGTCTGGTGAGTCTCAGCTCGGGCTCTAGGGCTCACTTTGGGTTCTGGTGGGGCTGGGTCTCTGGGGCTTGGTTTGAGCTCTAGTGGCCACAGTCCCTGTGAGTCTGTAGGGATGAGTAGAGTTATGGCTGCTCAGCTTCTGGGGGCTTTGCAGCCCTTGGAGGTGTGAGTGTCTTGGGGCTAGACCCCAGTCTCAAATGGTGCCTCTTCCAGCCCGACTCCCAGGCCCACTGGTCCTGGGCGGTGTGGCCCGGTGCCCTTCAACCCTGCAGATGGTCAAAGAGGTGCTGCAGGCCCAAGATGAGAAGAAGGGCGCCTCTGTCTTCACCATCAAGCGATTCATCCTGGCCAAGTACCCCATGGAGGATCCTATCCGGCTCAAGTACCTGCTGAAGCAGGCACTGAGCAAGGGGCTGAGCTGTGTGGAGCTGGTGCGGCCCCACAACTCCTCTGCTGTGGGGGCCACCGGCACCTTCCTGGTGAGCAGGGGGCTGCCAGGGCGCTGGGGGCTGCCAGGGCGGCTGGGGGCTGAGGTGCTGCCTGGGCCCACTGACAGCCTGCCCTCACCCCCAGTTAGCACCCAAGGAGCCACAGCACAAGCAGCATCTGGGCCAGGCAAATCCTGACAGAGGACAGGCCCCGAAGCCAGGACAGGAAGGGACCACCAAGGACCCCTGTGTCCCTGTGGCTGGTGCACAACAACGAGGTAAAGGGCTTCAGGGGCATGAGCCACCCCATGCTGCCTGGCCTCACCAGGACTCATCCACCACCCCGTCTGCAGGTACCACGAAGCAGTAGCTGGCAGCCATGAAGCAGAAGCCAAAAGCAAAGCCCATGGATGTGAGTAGGTGATGGCAGTGGGGCTGGGTGGCTCATGGCATGGCAGCACCCTGAGGTGCTCTCTTCCCTCTCCTCCAGGCCCAGCCACGAGCTGCAGTGAAGCCTGGGAGCGATGGAGCAAAGCCCCCGCGAGCTGCCAACCACCCCCAGGCCCCTGGCACAGGGTGTTCAAGGCCCCCAAGAGCTGCTGACCACCCCCAGGTACTTGGCAAAGGGTGCTCAAGGCCCTGTGGGACTGAGGCTGTAGGAAGGAGCAAAAGCGACAGCTCTGTGGGTGCTGGGACAAAGGGGCCCCAAAAGGTCCCTGGGGGAAAGAGCAAGGGGAAGGTGCTCAAGGGGGCACAGCAGGGTCCCCCCAAGGCACAGAGGGGTCAAGGCCAGGCGAGGAAGCCCCGGGTGACCCCAGGAGCCAGGCAGGGGGAAGCCAGGCTGCAGAAGGCAGCATCCCCTGGAGAGGACAGAACGGCTCTGTCGGGGGACCCAGACAGTCTCACTTAGCCCTGCTTCAGCTGGCCCCAGGCCCTTAGGGTCTGGGCTGCTTTTAGTCCCCAGGACAGGTTTTAACTCTGTGTTTACCTTCTGCTAATAAAGCTTCTTTACTCACCTCATAGAATGGCCTGACTGCTGCCCTGGTTGTGGGCCCCTGCCCCTGGGCTCCCATTTCCCAGCCCTGGCCTCATGCTGCATGGCATGGTAGTGAGTTGATACTGCAGGCAGCTGCCTCTCTGCCTGCCCTCATGGAGAGGTGCCCTGTCTGTCCCCAGCTGTGGTGCCAGGGGTATGCTGGGCTTTGGGGGCTGTGTGTGTGCAGGCTGGCAGTCATGGCCTGGGCAGGGGCCCTGGGACCCATAGGACACAGCATGGTGGCACCCCCAGGAATGGAGAAGCTCAGGCTTGGCCAGTACTGCTGGTGTGGACCGTAAGGTGTCGAGCCCTCTGCCCTCTTGGCTGCCCTTGTGCTGATGCCTGGCTGAGCTGGGATTATGAGAGTGCCAGGGTGGGAGGTCTGGGTGCATGCCATGGTCCCGAGCACTGGGGGGAGCTGCGTGTGCTCTAACTATAGTAAGAGAAAGATAGAGGTGTTTTAGGGCTCAAAAATGAGTTTGGAGTGCTTGCTGTAGCCTCCAGCATAGTTTGTACTCTTGTTATCTGTCTGTGGCACAGTTCCCACATCCAAACCTGTCTTGTGAGCTCCTGTGGGTCAGTGTATGACACTTTCATTTAATAGCTTCAAATGCCTGAATTTCTCTTGCTCTGCCCAGAGCAGAGCCCTTCTGAAGGTCAGGCTGATCGTGTAAAGGGTTACAGTCCTCCTGGGTGGGAGAAAATAAGTGGAAGTAAAACTCTTCCTAAAGAGGATTTCACTAATCTGCAGCTGGCCTTGCCAATGCCCTCCAAGGCTCCTGGCCTTGCTCTGGGGCTTAAGCAAGAGCTGAGCAAACTAACTTCTCTTTAAACTTCAGCCTTGACTATGTTGATCCATCTTTAAGGGAACTGGAACTCGTGTCCCTCCAGGGACAGGGTGGGGAATATGACAGCAGTAACTGAGCTGAGTTCACTGGATCCTCTGACAGTGGTGGCAATGTCCCAACAGGGCAGGGAAGGGGCTGTGTCCTCCCTCCTCACCATCTGCAGTGTGAAACGTGCAGCTCTCTTGCTTTGAGAGAGGCCAAGTCATTTAATGGCTGGATTTAGCTTTACTAAGAATCAACTTCCTAGCAGGAGAAAAAAATCCCTCCAGTGTCTGGAAAGTGCAGCTTTTACTGGAGGAGATGGAAGAGCATGGATTTAGCAATGCCATGGTTATTAAGGCCCCTGGGCCAAGCTGGTGTCAGGGTGCTGAAGCTGCAGCCTGGTCTGACAGTGCAGGGAGGTGCTGGCTCCCCAGGGCTGGGGGGAGGCACTGTCCTGTGGACTGGGCAGCTGGCAGAGGTGAGGGTGCCCGGCCCCAGCTGCTGCTGTGGGGCTGCTGGTCTTCACGTGTGCAGCAGTGTCAGTCAGTTCGGGTGCCAGTCGCTCCCGCGCCTGTTCCAGCGGGAGCCGTGGCACCGGCTGTGGGAGTGCTGTGTGGCCACAGCGAGCTCTGCAGCTCAGAGAGGTACAAACCTGTCTCCTGCAGAAACAAGGGGGTTCTCATTGAGCTGCTGACCCTGCACATGGTGTGCCTTGTACACGCAAGGCTCGTCTGTGCAGGTGTCTTTCATGTGTGTACTCTGCACACACAGGGGAAGGAACTGCACTCCACAGGTTCAGCACCTTGTTTTATTACAAAGATAGGCTTTGCCAGGAGTTTGCCACTTCCACTACACAGCAGGTAAGGGCACTACATCCACAACACGTGCCGAAGTTGGAAAACATGTTACAAAGGGCTCAGGGGTTCAAGGCAATACAACACTACAAACCCTCGAGCTTTTGCTCTGTTAAAGTTGTTCCTTTACATGGCTGTAGCAAATACTTCTTTTTTTTATTTTTATTTTTTTTTGCTTTGATAAAAATTAAATAATAAAGCAATAGCCTCAATACACAGCCCAGTCACAGCACCTGGAGGCAAACCCTACTTGCTCTTGACTCACTTGTTTCCTTTCCCTGTAACAAACAACATGGGGCTACAGCTCCATGGCCCTTTCCCTGCCTCCAACCAAACTCAACATTCTCTGCTACCTTGCTCTTTCTTGCCCTTGCCTTCCCTGTGCTGGGCCTGCCTAAATCTCTGTCAACTATTCACAGTCTCTAACAGAAAAAAAAATTCAAATTTTGTGAAATCACTTTCAAAATAAAATGTAGCCCAGCTACATTCTTAAGAGTTTATATTCTGAAGCCACATCCTCAGCAAAGACATTGAGACCTCTGCAGTGTAAGTACTTTTTCTGTAGTTCTCTTTAAAAAACCCCCTCTGTTCTTCCCCTTTCCCTTCCCTCCCTTCCCCCTTTTTAACATACTGGATAAAGTCTATCATTTGTTTTAAAATAGATATCTATGTACACATACACAACTCCGATGTTGCGGTTTCTGACAAATGTGGCATTACTGGAAACAATGGAATGGAGGCCACCTGTCCATGGCAGTCACCCAGGAGTACTTCTGGTGAACAGTTATCTAATAGCAGGCTGCATCATTGTCAGTTGAATGACTAACAAAGGCTCCCCTTACACCCTCCTGCAGTGAGGTAGTAACTTTTTTCTTTGTTTCTTTCCTATTTGGCAGTTTGAACCATGGCATCTGCGGAGGGTCAGCCCTGTGGGCAGGAGCCTTTTCCCATGCAGGAATGCTGGCTTCGAGCACATGGCGTTGGCTGTACCCAGCCTCTTCAGAGGGGCCTGTGTGACACTGGAGACCAGAGCAGTCACAGCTCCCCGGGCTGCAGGAAAGAGAAGGGGCCACCAAGCTGGGATGGGGTGTTGCCCCAGTGCAAATGCCACAGGGCGGCACTGCGGTTTCTGGTCTTGGATGAGATCCACTGGTCTGCCAGTGGGACCTTCTCACTGACCCTGGCCTAAGCCTGAACACTCTCTACCTTAGTCTGCAGCTCGGGATGCCAGAGCTGCTCTGCTGGCCTGTGTCAGTGCTGGGCTGCCAGGGGATGGGTCCAGTCCCGCTGCCTTTAAGGTCTGAAAACAGGCTGGTAACATAGCCAAGCCCCCTCTCTTGGCTGCTCTCAGATATCAGCCACGGGGGCTGGCCCTGAAGCAAGCAGAACAAGCTGCTTTAGGAGACACCTCTGCAGCACTGACTTTGTGTTTGGTGATGGCCACGGGGAGAGGCAGAGAAAGGGACGATGCTACCTGGTGTTTGCCCTGTGTGTGGCTCGAGGCCACTGTCAGAGGGCTGTCAGCAGGAGCTGGCCCTGTTGGCATGAAAGGCATTACTGGGGTCAAGGTGCCACAGACACTGGGGGCAGTGCCACAGACACGTGTTGAGCCAGTGCAGCGAGGCTGGGAGCAAGGGCCACGGTCCTTCCCTCACCCTCTGTCTGCATCTGGTCTAGACAGGACCATGCCTGCGATGAGCTGGTTGGGCAGTGGGATGTTTGCCTACCCACTGCACCTCCAGCTTGCTGTGTATGAGAGACAAGAACCCAGGGAAGGGGGAACGGCCCTTCCCACACTGTCTTACATGGATTGCACTCCCTCTGGCACCCAAACAGCTGTCTCTGTTAGGGATAAAGTGCTTTCACCATGCCTTAGCTGCTTGGGAAGCAATTGCTTTGTCTCAGCCCCAAGTTCCTCATGTTGCCCAAGTCTCAGATGGAGGGGCAGTTATGTTTACACATACAGTACAAAAATTAAAAGGCACAAAAATACACAGAATGCAGCAGATAGTGAACAGCTGATAAGAATCAGTCCCTGGTGTTCGAAAAACAAGGATGTTGGAGGGATGGAGTGGAAGGGAACTCAGGTGTTGCTGAGATGGCCTATGCTGTCTCTGCTCGTTACTCCCTGAGGTGACCCTTCTGCTTTGTGTCTGTTGTTCCAGCCTCTGCAGCCCCATCCCTTGTCCTGAGGAGCCACACGCCGGGATGCAGGGAGTGCTGACTGCTTGGGTGCTGACCAGAGGGAAGTGGTGAACTGAGCTTGCCCCAGGTGTCACACCTCCATTTCTGGCTGGCAACAGCAAATAAATTATGGGTGCCACAGTGGATACCAGAGGAGTTTGAGCTGCTCTGAAAGGTGTCTTGTGGCCTCTTGTGATGTGAGGGAGCCCTTCAGCCATGGCCAGGACCACCCCCACCACAAGGCTGGTTTGAGGATGACCACGGTGTGCCTGTGGCTGAAGGCAGGTTCCCTGTGGCACTGTGCTGCAGGAAAGGTCACTTCCAGGGCTGCAGCTGGCCTAGGCTTCACTGCAGCACTCGTAGATGTTGTCCTCCATGAGCGCAATCACTTGCTCGAATTTGTGCTGGAGCTGGGTGCGCTTCGTTGTGGGGTTGGCATCCAGGGCAGCCACAATCTGTGGGTGACATGGGCAGGTGGGTGGATAAGGCAGTGTAGGGGTGCCCACCCGCCAGCCCAGTTCCCGCCGTCGGCCCTGTGGAGCCCAAATCCCAGTCACAGCTGGAAAGCCCACCCTGCCCTCCAGCCCCTGCACAGCTGCTGTCCTTGGGCACAGCTGGGTCCTTGGCCAGGGCTGGGAGAGGAGGAGAATGTGGCAGAAATGCTCAGCAATAATGGAGCTGAGGGTGCAGCACCAGCCTGTGGGGTGCAGGGGGGCAGGAGCCAGCCAGGGCCACTGCCTTGGTGGGGGGTGGTGGGTGCATGTTATTTTGGGGGTGGGTAGACTGTATCTGCATGTTCTGCCCTCTTGAAAGCACCTACACATCAGGCAGCCCCGCTTCAGTGCGGCCCAGTCGAACACCGTTAAGACCAGCTGGTAATAGCTGGCCTTCTCTTCAAAGAAGTTGCCAGCCAAGGGACACAGAGCAAGTGCATCTGCACGTGCATCTACTACATATGTGCTGGGACTATGCAAACCCTGATAATCCCTGTTCTGTGGGACTGCATGCAAGTGTCTGATTATGGAGTTACCACAGCAGGCATGCTGAGACCGGAGTGCCCTGAAACCCACTCACCTGGGAGCGGTATCTCTTGGCATATTTGTATATCTCAGCCATGGCAACATTGGTGTTGAACTCATTCCGGTATTTCTTTATAAAGACAGAAAAAAAGAGAGGATAATATTAACAGGATGCAGCATCTGAGTTTCAGCCCAGCCAGCCGGCAACAACTACATTAAAAGCAGGTTTGACCTCGGTAATTTTATTTCTGTTGTGTTGGTGCAGCCAGATTCTTGCCTTTTTCCTTTAAGGAAGGTGCATTTGCTTACAACAGGACAGGTCTCCATCTTTTCAAAGCCAGCCTTAAATACTCTCTCTGGGTAGCACTGCTTACCCCTCTGTGCCCAAAGCCATTTCACAGGAGAGCAGCACATCAGCTGGGCTGCAGAATGTCGATGGAAAAATCCTGCTCAGTGCCTGAAGCTAGAACACCTTGGGAAGAAGGTCTGATTTTGAGGAATTCACGGTGCATCACTGGCAGAACTCTGATCCAGAGCGTGGTTGCCAGCTCCCATGGCTGGTACCAGGGCTGGCTGCCAGTAGCTGCCTGGGACTTGGGGCCGGCCCTGGCAGTTGCGCCCAGGGGCCAGCTGGCTGGGTGGCTGCAGGATTGCAGAGATCCTTGTCCAAACTTCCTGGCTTTTTGGCACTGAATTTCACGCTCAGCTCCCAGTGGTGCCAGAGCTAGTTAGGCTCAAGCGAACTCGTGGGTGTTTACTGCAGCTCTGGCAGTAATTGAAGATGCTTGGAATTAGGTCAGATGAAGTTTTTGTGTAGAAGTTTGAGGCAAAATATTCTTTCTTGCGTGCTCCTTCTAGCATCCAAGCAGTAGCTGACTGCAGCCTATCTGCATTCCCTGCTGCTCCCAGATGCCAGTAGGACACCAAGCCTGCAGACCCAACCCCATCCCCTCCATCCACTTACCCGCGACTCCTCTGCGAGGTGGGCGTTCATTTCCTGCTCACTCAGTGGTGACATGTCATGGATTTGCTTGTAGTACCGCTGCACTATCTTCCTGTACTCGGGGATCTCCTTGGCGTACAGCAGTTTGTTGGTTGGGGAGTCCTAGAGTGAGGGTGAGAGACCAAAATCAGGCCCCGTGTTGTTCCTGGCTGAAAACTTTATCCTGGTTCCTTGACCAAAGTGCTGACCATCCATCAGACAGGGACCTCAGCTACAGCTAGGTACGGGGAGGAGTTTTGCCTTTGGTCCTGGCTGTCACCAGACAGGACTGCAGGGGAATGGCACCAAGGCACCAAACAGCTCATGGCCTCAAATACATCAAGGATCTGCAGATGGGCACCATGTGCCTGCGGAGCTGCAGCACCATCCTACTGCCCTTCATCCTAGCATGAGCTGAACATCTGTCAGCTCAATGCCAGAGAAGGTGGTTGGTGGGGATGTGTTTTAAGTTGCAGTAAGAGCAGGCTAAAACCATGCCCAGGGTCAGGCAGGGTGGCTTGCTGTCAGGTGATGCTCTGCAGGTGAGGTAGCAGCCCTGCTCTAGATCAAACACTTGTGCTCCATGGCACTGCGTGTGGAAACCGGCAACAAGGGAAGGGCTTCCGCATGCAGTTGCTGGGGTCTCTTGAGCAGCCAGCCTGATTTAAACTGAAGAACAAAGCTATCTTACAAGCTGAACTTTGTCAGTTGAAATGGTGCTCTTGGATTTTTCATGTAGCTTTGATTTATTTTGCATTGGCTAACCCAGCCTGCCTGGCCTAAATTGAGTGTACGTAAAGTAATTAACAGAGAATACTGAATACTCTTGATTAATGTCAGCTTGGACACAGCAGCCTTAGCCTCCCAGCCACACAACCGGGTTGTACCAGTGAAGGCACAACCCTGCTGCTCTCCTTGCAAACACAGTATGAATGATTTTAACCTCGAGGCAATCCTGCCCTGCTGATATCATTACCCTGGGAATGAACTTGGCTGACTGGCCTAGTTGGATCCCCAAGGGGAAGCGCCCCAGGCTCTGGGACATTGAGGGGTGTGAGATCACCGGGTCCTGCCACCCTGACACTGGTGTTTGGGACTGCTCTCCAGTGCTCTGACAGGGGGAGAGGGGACCTGCTGAGGAGATGGTGCGGGGGGCTCTGGCTGCAGGCAGCATCCTCAGCTCTGTCAGGCAGGAATAGGGGAGCCCGGGGTGAATGCAATCTGCTGCTGCAATCTGCAGCATGGCTAATGCTGTGGGGGAAATGGGAAACGGGCACCAGGCTGTGGCACCAGATCTCACAGCAGTTTATTTTCAAACCCAGTGACAAGGCATTACGGGAATATGGCCAACTCACAGAACTTGCTCACAGCATTTTTTTTTTCCCTTGGAAGCACAAAGGAAACCCATGCTGCCTCTTTTTTAAGTTATTTTTTAATTTGTGTCTGATTTGTCTGTAATATGAAGAGATGGGCACCGGTTTATTAACCGCTTGTGCACCGTAGATGTACAGAGTCTGCTCTCACTTTTGTAGTACTGAGAGCAATGTGCTGAAACCAAGGGAAGAATCCAGCCTGGAAAACGCTGTGATACATTGCGTGTACATGCAAGCTGATTTTTAGGCTGAGGATTTATTCTTCCCACATTACTCAACAATTCCTTCACTTATGCTATTGTATTCCTGAAAAATGTTTCCATCTGCTGTCTGACTCCAGCTGACCCCTCTTCCCCTCATCCGCTGCTTGACAAGGACAAATTGTAGGTGTTTCATAACACATGCAAAAAAAAGACCAAAACCCAAACAAACAAAAAATCAAGCGCTCATTAGATCTTCCTCCAGCATTAACCTCTCCCAGCAAAGGTTTCCTGCAGCTCTGGGGCTGGGGGCACAGCGCCCACCCCCACCCCCTCGCCGCAGGGTCCCCCCATCACACTCTGCCGCCGACAGCGATTTACAGCGTTTGTTAATGGAAATTACGTCAGGAAGTTTCAAATGTCAACACCGCGCTCAGCCAAGGCCACGGGGAACAGAGAACAGAGAATATGCCGTGGGTCGTCCTGCCGCTGGCTGGCCCCGCAGGACCATGTGCAGGGCCTGAGGGTGGGATAGGGGACCTGGTCTGTGCAGCCTCGCGTTCTCAGCTCCCCCGGTGGCGTGTCGAGCCCGCCGGGCTCCGACACCATGCCGGGGATGACCACTGTGGGATGGAGGCACTGCACTGGAGGAGAGCAGCAACTGCAGTGCCTGCTGAGTGCCTTCCATGTGCTGATGGATGGTGTCACCGGGATGGCCCCGGGCAGCCCCACACCGCCAGGTGAGCCAGGCCTGCTCTGTGCTGCCTGGGCAGGCACAGCCCGTGTTCCTGGAGGATTGGGTCAACTCCTGGGCTTCTCGTAGCCCTCCCAGGTGAGAGGCTGTGCAGAAACCACCAACAGCAATGACTGAAGCTTCACCTGGAGCTACATCATTTTCCATCCTGTCACTAGGAGCTTTACACTGAGCTGTCCCTCAGCTGCTTTACAGGATCATTATGCTGATGGTGACCCCTAAACCAGCCTTGACAGGGAATTGGGTTCCCCTGCGGGGTCTGCCCATGCCCCGTGCTGGTGCCCCGGGCAGAACTGCCCCCCACCTGTGCTCACCTTCCCAATTTATGCCCCTGCCTGAGACAACAGCAGAAATGTTTGCCTGCTCCAGCAGCAGCTCAGCTGGGTCAGGAAGCATTTTAGACTCAGTGCCGAGTCAGCGGGTGCTCTCCCACAGCCGCAGGAGAGCTCATGGAGTCGATGGGTGAACCTCAGTGCACAGCCCAGCAGCTGGTCTTCCCTGACCCTCAGAGCCCCCTGGCCTGGGGCCCTGCCCTGTGTCAATCCTGCCTGTGACTGTGTGTCCCTGCTCCCTGGCCACTGTTTGTGACAAAGGAGGTGCGGATTTCCAGCTCAAGCCTGAACGAAGGGGTAGGGAAGGAGGGGAGAACACATCCCTGGAGACAGCCAAAACTCAGCTGCATGAGCCCAAGCAATGGCTCCAGGCAGTCCTGCTGTGGGGAGGCCAGTCTGGTAACCTCTGCCAGTCCCTGCCCACCCGGACTGGTCCGTTCTGTGGCTGCCCAAGCAGGAGCTTGGTGTCCTCGCCAGACAGTACCTTGCCCAGCTGCAGGTCGGAGAGGGAGCAGGCGTCGATGAAGGCCTGGGCGATCACAGACAGACAGGCATCGATGTGGTCTGTTTTGTCAATGTCAAAGACAAACTGGGGGTTTTTCAGGATGTTGACCCAAAACCTCAGCGGTAGGCTGCAAAGAGAAGGATCCAGGAACACACACCAGGTGAATTTTTGTGTTTCAGAGGGATAGGGGAGGAAATGCAGGAAAGATGATGATAGAAAGTGAGTAGCAGAGAGAAAAAACTGAGGAGAGAGATTCTACTATTTAATAACCCCAGTACAGATTTGAGCCCTGCCTCGACAGAGGGGCAGGAATGTGCCTTCACCCCAGAGACATTTCTACAGGCTGGAGGATGCAGCATAGACAGGCAACTGCACATAGAGCCTCCTCTGGGCACACATTTGGCCCTGCAGCTCCCGAGGCAGCCGTGGGCCTGGAGACGCACCGGCTGCATGGAGCTGTTGAGTCAGGCTTCCCCCTTGCTGGTGTCACTGGCTTTTCCCTCTTCCCTGACAGTAACCATCATCTGATTCTGATGGTGAGCCTGGCCCCGTGAAATGCATTTCATATGTCTTTTTTTCTGCTCTCTCATAATTTTCTTCTCCAATTACTTCACTTCACTGCTCATCTGGCCACAACACAGCTTCAGTCTATTGTTCGTCCTTCCTACTGTCCCTCTGTGGCAGCTGAGGAGCAAAATCTTTGCTCTACAGGCCTAATGAAGGTAGCAAAGGGCAGGCAGATCTGTAGCCCAATGGTTGTGCCTGCATGCCTGCTTTCCCAGCCAAATTTGGTTTCAATTTTCACACACTGGGCTGGAAACAGTTACTGTCCCCAAAGCCTGAGAAGCTCTAAGCCTTTCCTTGATGCTCCCTCCCAGCTCCCTGCTCTTCCTGCTTAAAATCTCTGCTTTCTTTCCTGCTTTATTTCCCCTTCACTTTGGGTCCCCCACCCAAATCCCACTGCTCATCACATCCCTCAGCACCACTCTGGCTGGTCCCAGTGCTGCAGTGCCCACCAGCACGACACTATCACAGCATCAGCTCCCAGAGTCCCGTGGTAAGTCAGAGAGAAGTTAGGAAAATTGCCCTGGAGGGCTGAAAAGCCAGAAAGCAAATGAAAAGGAGCCAAATATGCTGGTTTTAAAACATCCATGACTCAGTCTCAGATCTCCAGTGCTTGGAGCTAACACCACTGCTGTCTCCTGTCATCCTATTTCTCCTTTCACTATTTTTGTTAGTGTGCCAGTTCCTTCTGCCCTTTATCTGTCCATGCCTCCTCTTCCAGCTCGCTGTTCCCATGAGCCCCATTTTTGTTTAAAGCTCTCCAAGCCTGTCTTTGGCCTCATCTTTTGCTGCCACCTCTGCCACCCTCCCTGTTTTCCAAATCCCTCTTCTACTTTTAGCAACCTAATGATTGATCTGGGACACCAGGGCTTTGCAGCTGCTGCTCCTGAGAAATGGAAGGAAGAAAAGAAAGACTCCTTTCAAACCTGTTGGTCTTCCAGATGTGCAGAGTGTCAGGGTCTGTGATCCCTCTCTTCTCTGCTTGCTCCTCTAGGAAGTCAAAGAAATACTTCACGGCCACAGGCGGTTTATCATCTCGGATACTGAGAATGGCTTTGAACAAGTCGTCCAGGAACTTCTGGAGTGTGCCCTGCAGGACAAGGACAAACTGGAGCCTGGGGAGAGCATTCGAGCCCAGGAGAATAGCAGAGGGGCTGTGACTGCTGTGCACAAGGGGAAACACTTTGCTGCCAGTTGAATAAATCAGAAGAGAAAGTGGATGCCAAAGCAGGGAGGGAAAGGTTTGTTTGTGCATAGTGATATAATTAACTTGCATTTGGGTTTAATTTCTTCTGGCACTGAGATTTTCTTTTTTACTGCTGGGATCTCACATCTGTGGTTGTTCTGCACAGCACACACAAAGAAGACTAGAGACTGCTGGCCATCCTTGTGATCTCTGCTCCAGTGAGGCACCATGCTGGGATTAAAGATGGTCCGGATCTGACCTATCACACAGACATTCCCCCTGCTCCCACAGCTGAGCATCTCCACCTCCTGTCCCAGCAGGATCTCTTGCTGGAGGGATGGGTTCAGCTCTGAGCTGTGCACCATGAGCCCCAAGGCAGACAACCTTCCTTTCCTCTGCACAGACCCCAGTCCAGCCCAGGGAGATCGTGTGGGGCATCATTCAGAAGTGAGGGCAAGCTGGGAAGCTGGAGGGACCTGAGGAGCCAGAGGTGCCTGGCAGCCTCACTAAACATGCTCCAGCCATCCAGGACAGGAGTCCCAGTGCCCCCTGAGAGACCGGCCCGCAGCGCTCCTCCCTGGAAGCAGACTTCTCCCTAGGGACAACAAACAATCCCACCTGCCACGAACGGGGGTCACCTGGCTCCTACCTTGGTGGAGAGCAGCCGTGTCAGGTAGATCTCTGGAAGGACTTTCTTCCTATGGCTCTGCCTGTGGGACTTCTTATGTTCCACTGATTCATCGGTTGGGAGAACCTGGCCCCAGGTAAAACACACGGTCAGAGCACTCCTCTCTGCAAGTGTCACACTGAACTTTCCTTTCAGTATAGAATTTCAACTAAACATAAAATTCAATTAAAAAGCAATTACTGTTTTAGAAACACACCTTTATATGGCTTTTAAAAAAGTGATTTAAAATACTCAGTTTTTCTGACATTTGTTTCTCCTGTGCTCTTTATTGCCTCTCATGCTAGACGAAGGAAATGAACCTGTCCATCTCCCTTTGTATGCTGGCCTGCTCACCCCCCCGAGCTCTCCCAACCCCATGTGGCTGCACCCTGGGCTCCCAGCAGCAATGCACATGGTGTCTGCAGAAACCAGTTTTCCTAGGATTTTGAAAAAGCACAATATGTAGGAATATTGGCTTTTTCAAAACAGAAATGAATATTCCACTAGTCAGGTAAGTGAATTACTGCTCTATAATGACAAACCAAGCCACTGACGTCCATCCTGGCACTGTTTCACATGTGAACAGTTGGTTTCCCATCCCTTTTCCCTCCTTGCTCGGCACGTGTGCGTGTGTGTATGTGCTTCTACTTCAGCATGGAAACACAAGCAGAGAAAAGAAATCCCAAAACCAGGCTATAAAATATTGTTGTTGTCCATAACACCTTTTCTTGTAGCAGCTTTTAGCAGCGTTTAGCACTCTGTGCTTCCAGAATGGCGCACCAGCAGGAACCATGGACGTGCCCAGCCCGGGAAGCAGGCTGAGTGCCAGGAGCTCCCGGCAGGTGACTTGACTGAGGTGTCACAGGATGCTGCTGGCAGCACTGTGCCACGCCATGCTCCAGACGTGCTCCCGAGCTCTCCGTGGCTGCCCACAGCTCAGTCAGGAACAACAATTTCTCTGCCATCCCGGTAATTTTTTACTGTGTCCCTCAGTACTAAAGTTTGTCTATAGATCACCTTTCTGCACCTCATTGTGCCCTGCTGAGGAGAACTAACAAGCCTTGATCCAGCTTGTTCATCATATCTGACACTCCAGCCCACAGATATGATTTAAGTTAATGTCAGCAAGGCTGAGAGTTTCTCCTCTTTCAACACATGCTCTGAACAAACAGGACCCTCTGACTCCAGTGCAGGAGAGAGGAGGGATCGCTGCACACTCTGTCAGCATCCTTGCTGTCATGGCAGCAGGACAGATCTGGGGGAGCAGAGCCCCCCACGTGCCAGTGCCACTGCAGAGCGGGTGTCCTGGAGCAACAACTCTGCTTTTCAGAAGCAGTTCCTGGAGGGCAGGAGGGGAGGGCAGCCCAGGCCCCCACACACAGACAGCATCCCTGCAGCCAGGAACAGGATACTTACCAAGTGGAAGTACTTCTCCGTGTCCAAATCCTTCACTGTGAAGAAGAAAGACACAGGGGCTCAGTCGAGGGACCTAAACAGAAACCCACCTCCCCTGGTGCCCTCAAGAGGCATCTGAACTCCAAGACTGAGCTGGTGTTCTCACCACAAGTGATCTCAGTGTTTCTCCTTGGTTTTGGGTTGTTCATTGCATTCTGGGGCACATGGCAAGTACCTTTGGAGGTACTTTAAGGGGGACCTGCAGTCTCCCAAGGTGTGTTTTAAGAGGGACCCAAGAGCAGGATGAGCACGCGGCACTCCTGCACTGTGGTGCCCTGCTGTGCCCTGCCATGCCCCGTGCTCCCATGACTGTCTCCCAGTCTCATCATCAGGGCAGCTCAGCCCTGAGCAGCTCCTCGCCCCGGCAGAAAAAGGACTCCCACTGCTGGGCTCTGCGCAGGCAGCCTGAAAATGGGGTTTGAAATTCCTTGTTCAATGTGGATTTTTGTCTCCCTTGGTTTTTTTTTGACTCTGCACAGCCTGAAACCTAGAAATGTGCTGGTAAGAGACTGAACATGTGTAAATGGGAGGGAGAGGGCTTTTCCAGCCAAGTGGTTTCAGATTCTTCCTTTTTCTCACTCTGTCAGCACAGACTGGATGCAAACCCCCAGTCAGAGTGTGAGATGGAAGGTGCAAACACCTTGAAGGCTGGGAGAACACTCTGCACCCCAGTAAGCAGGAACAGAAGGAGACTGGATAGCACATGTGTAGGGCCACCGCATCCCAGTGCCCAGGCATGGGGCCTGGCAGTACCTCCCAGCATCCTGGCCAGAGACAACCTCTGACAATACAAGTGTTCCTGCCCAGTCACCAGAAGTAGGGGAAGAGAAGCGAAAAGTTACCTCTGCTCAGTGTGGTGTCCTTCTTGTCTGACAAGCTCATGGCCAGGGATGCCCCTTCAGGGATCTGTGGAGGAAGGGAAGAGCAGGCATTGATGATGGGGGCCTTAACGGTGCCTCCGCAGCCCCGGGGAGAACCCAGGAGCTGGGGGATGCTGGCTCAGTCACGGTTCTGCCACGAACGTCCCCTGCACCCACCCTGCCCTGCCCCTGAGCCCAAGTGGGAACTGGCAGTGATGGCACTGCCCTACATGGAAAGGAATTTTCAATGCAAATACAAGATAGCGAGGTTCTCAAACCCAATGGGAATTGGGCATATACGTGTTTCCAAGATGCATTTTTGGATGAGAACCCCAGGTAAGTTGAAGAGGAGGGAGGGTTGTGCTGTGCAGGTGCTGGTTTGCCTTTCCCCAAACGGCAGAAGGAACGTGTGGGGCCGGTGCATCCCCTCTGCCACAGGGCACCATGGCAGCGTTACCCCGATAACCATATTAACGAGCTCTCAGCTCCGCTTTTGTTTTCTGTGCACAGCTACAAACCAGTGAGCATTATGCTCCCAGGCACACCAGGGAGTATGGAAATCATGTAAATATTTCTGGTTTCATTTAATTTTAGCACAAAAACGGTCAAGGAAACAATCTGATTCACCACATATCCCTGCATTTTTGGCCTCAGCTCCTGGATGGCATCCCCAGCCTCTGCTCTCAGGGCAGGCATTGAGTCGTAGCTGTGATTTCAGCAGGAGTGCAGATCAAGAGCAGAGTGATACTAATCAGCCAGGCTGGTGGCCCTTGGGAATAGGAGGTTTTTCCCCTCCTCTTTCTGTTGTCAGTAATAACTTGTTTTGCATGAAGAGTGTTTAATTAGTTTCTGTGTGTTGCAATATTAACGAGATGCTCGCCAGGGCAGATGTCTATTCCCTGGAAGCTCTCACGGAGCTATGGCAACCTCCCTGCTTGTTCCTGATGATCCTGTTTTTGGAGGGGAACTGCAGCTCTCCCCGGAGGCCAGGCAGGCTCCAAGGAGGTGAAGCTCCCCTGCGGCACCGGCAGCTTTACCTTGTAATGTGCTAATGTGTTGAGTTTCTTCCTACCATCCTCCACCACCGAGGTGTCATCGAGGTCCCGCAGGATGTAGCTGTCAGTGCTGGTGGCAAACCACTCTGAACACAGAGAGGGGAGAAGTGAGACCCCAGCCCAAAGGAGGCAGGTGCCAGGGGGCCTGAGGCTCCAGGGACCAAAAGGCTGCCCTGATGTCTGCCCCCTGTCAGCACTGCTTCACTCACTGCTCTGACAGGCACCAACAGCTGCTGTGCAACATCAGGTGCTTCATCTGGTTTCACGGACTGGCTGGTCCTTACCAAGGTCAACGTCTTCCACCCTTGGCCACTGGGAGTAGGGGACGTTCTTGCAGAAGGCCTCCAGAATCTTCTCCTTCACTTGGCTGAGTGTGTCCGTGTCCATGGCCCTGACACTCAGGGAGTCCATCCCACAGCCTTGGAAGGAGACGTTGAGGTTCTGCAGGCAGAGGCTGTTATTAGGGGTGACCTGCCGGGTCCTGCTGGCTCCCAAGGAAGCTCGGAGGCTGCAGCGCCTACACAGCTCTGGCTGGTGTGCCCTGGGCCTCGTGCTGATGGAAATCAGGCTGAACTAATGTGGCCATTGAGGCTTTACAGCATGAGAGGCGCTGATTTACAGCCCTGGGGGCTGAGGGCCCCATTTGTTGACGGAGCCAGGAGGACACAGGGAGCGACACCACAGCCCCCCCTCATGCAGTCTTGCTAATGGGGCCTGGCCCTGATGCAGAGACCACTGCAGGGCGGGAGGAAGGGTCAAACCCCATCACCAGCCATCTCCTCAGCCGCTTGGCTTCAACTGGTGACTAATGTGGCTGCCAAGGCTCATTGCTCAGCCTCTGCCTGACGCAATGGGTCGAGCTCCACTGTTGAAATGACCTCTAAGCAGGATGGGTCTACTGTGCTGCTGGAGCCAACTGCCAGCACCACCAGTAACCAGCTCAAGAACTACTGAACAGTGGGACAGGCAGCTGTGAGGGGCTGCAGGCTGCCAGAGAAGCCTGCTCAGAGCTCAGGGAGGCACAGCTACCACCTCGGTTGCAGCCAAAAGCTGCAGGCAATGAGAGCAACTCTTGCTATCAGAAACCCTCTCCTCTTTTTGTCCAGGTTCCTCCTCATCATACAAGCTGTGCAGACCCAAATACTGAGTACAGCTCCAGTGCGTGGGTACTCACCCTTGGCTTTGCCTCAATGTTCTCCCTCAGCAGCCACTCCTCGTTGAGGGTGTACCTGGCTTTTCCCGTAATGGCATCGATGGAACCTTTGTTAATCTGCTGTTTGATGGCACAGATCAGCAGGAAGAAGGGCTCTCCAACTGTCTCCTGGAGAAGGGAAAGACCAGGTCAGCAAACAGGATGCAGTGGTGGTGTCTCCATCAGTGGCGTGGCAGGGACAGGCTCTGCACGGACACTGAAAGTGCCTCCGCATACTGAGGAGCAGGAACAGCCCACCCCAGGTGCTGTGAACGCCCAGTGGGTGCCATCACCCCCAGCTCCCACCAGCATTTCTCTGAGGCTGCTCAGAAGTTTTCAGACTTATGGCACCGTGACAACGCAGATGGGGAAGAGGACAAAACAGCCGACAACAGCCGCAGGCCATTTTTGGGGATGCTGTAATTGTCAGCATCAACATACTCCATCCAAGTTCTCCAGCAAGCACTGGAGCTGTGGAATGTCACTGACGGGCTGGGCCAGCCTGTGCTGTTTGGTGGGCAGAGCTCAGGTGCTGCTCAGAAGGCAGAGGCAAATGCATGGCTGTGCTGAGCGGGGATGTGCACACACCATGCTTGGCAAAATACAAATGTGCATTAATTTACATGTGAAATTACACGTGAACTTCATGGAGAATCTGACACACTGTGCTACAGAGATGCTTCCTGAACTCTGACAAGGGTGCAGACTGTACAACATGCTGGACTCAGCAGGACAAGGAGGGGCTGATATGCACAAAACTCCAGGTCTGCAGCATCTGGCTTTCTCGTAAATATGTCAGATGAACCCCTCTTTGCACTGCCTGCTTTGCCACTGAACTCCACAGGAGTGAGCCCATGGCCTCGGTCTGTGGCTCTGGGAATCAGTGTTCATACTTCTCATACCACAGCAGAGCCCTCATCACAGCAAAACAGAGAGGATCCGGGTCAACAAGCTGTTCCCATGCGACAGCAAGTAAACACATCATTTAACTCCTTACATTCATCAAACTTAAGCTCATGGGAGAGAGGTGAACTGTGTCACTGCTGCAGCAAAAACCAAAAACATGACAGGGAGCACCTATTTGTTATGTGGTTCAGCTACACAGCTTAATGCCAGATTTCCGATCCACCTCTGCCTGATGCACTGATGTGCAAGGAAAACATAAGCTATTTTTTTGAGGAACTTTTCAGTACTGCAGTACATCCCATTCTCCCTAATGTTCATGTTCAATTTTCTTCCAATGAAGCAAGTGCAAATTCTGCACATTTATGTAATGGGAGCATCCCCCCCCGGCACACGGAGCCCTGCCATCTGAGAGCCTGCTCAAGACAACAGATACCCAACGGTTTTGATATTTCTCAGCTAGGAGCTGCTAAATCCTGTTCAATCTGCTTCTTAATTAAAACTTGGTGATTCTTTTATTCTAATTGCCCTGTAATTGCTAAAGCAATTAGTTCAGTGTCAATTTGGATGTGCTGCATTTGGCGCGGTTGATGATATGGTGATGCAGGGGTGGGCATACGCTGTCTTGTGTCAGCCAGGCAGTCACTTCCTTTCCAAGGGAAACTTCAGGAACACAGGAAAGCTCCCCAGGTCTGCTGCAAGGGTTTAATGATTCCTGCAATGCTCCTCTGAGCAGGCAGCACAAAATGGGCTCAGCAGCAGGGCTGCAGGTGCTGGAATGGAGGAAGGCACGGCTCCCAGAGCATAGAGGAAGGTGAGTCACGGAGGTGGAGAAGCTGAAGATTGCAAAGAGTAGAGAACGTGTCAAAAGACACAGAGAGATTGTTTTGGAGAGAAAGGCAGAAGCATAAAAGAACAAGCAAGGGGACAACACCGACACGGAGACCTCCTCATGCTGCAGTACCACTGTCCCCATATGGTGACCCGCAGGGTCAACAGCCCCCAAAACAGGCTGTACTACCAACAGGAACTCCATTTGTGCCGCACGTGAGCAGGGACAAACCCGAGGCCAAACTCGGGGCCAGGCTCTGGAGCCTGCCTGTCTCTGCCATGGGCAGCTCTGGCCTCAGGGAGACCCGAGGGGGGCAGCCAGCAGCTCCACAGTGCCTCCACAACCATTAAAAAAGGGCGAGTCCTACTGATACAGGAGCTCTTTATGGCTTGAGACGAGCACAGGCTGCACGGGTGGGGGCTGACTCTGCAGCACCGTCCTGCACACGTAAAGCTGCCCTGGCAGTGGCAGGGTGGGTGCTCTGGCACGGCAGGCATTGGGGGTCATCACAGACCTGCTGCTGTGCCCACGGGCAGGATCAGCCCCAGGTCCCCCACAGGGGACACAGTGACAGCGCTCCGCTGGAGAGATGCTATTTCTGTTTGGCTTTCTGGCTTTCAGGCTCAGGAACTGTGGGATGTTACGGAAATCTGCAAAAGTGCTAATCAGACAGCAAATTTCAAAGCAGGGAAAGAAGGGCTGGCAGGCAGGGACTAGAGATAAATTGGCAAACTTGGAAACCTCCTGCATTGTTCAGAAAACTCATCTGGAAAGGAATCAAAACTGTCTTTGGATTTGGCTAGTTGGGAGAAAGGAAGTTTAACCAGAAGAGATCAGTGCTGATTCAGGACAAAAAAATACTTAAAAAAACACAGTCTGGGGCCTTTTTTCCTCCTATTGTGAATGTATTTTAATGAGACTTCATTTTCATTTTTGACTGAACTGTTATGGGCTCTTAAAGCTACCCAGGGCACCGAAATAACTCTGCAGTAATGGAAAGCACAGTTCAGGCTGGCAGGACTTGAACTGTTCCACGCACGAGGAGCGTGGGAGGGCTTCATTTTTATATGCTTGGGAAAATAAAAAGGTTTAGAGCACAGACTGGATTCACATGTTGCTGCCCTATTAACACAACTCCAACAAGTCATTATATATGTCCTCCCAGGAACACGCTACAGCCATTTCCAAAATGTTTTGGTGAGGCTGGGGTGGGAAAAGCACAGAAAACAGCTGCTTATCCCAAGTGCCTGTTAATTTTGGGACAAATAACTTTGCACTCTGCGAAGAACCAAACCTCAGCTCCATCCCACACACAAAACTTGGGGAATCTTGGACCCAGATGTAAAAACTGAATTCCAGGATCTTACTTTTCCTTTAACACCCAGTTCCCTGATCCTGTTAGGAACTAAGCACAGCAGTGAGATACCACGGTATCTCATGGGAAAGGCTTTCTTTTTCAGTTATTTTAACCAAAACTGTAGCACAAAATAAAAACACCGACCATTTTATCTGCGATTCTCACTCAGTTCTGCAGAAACAGAGTTCTGCATTGATTGTGCAAATGCTGCAAGTTCCCTCTGAGCCCTGTCCCTCACAGAAAGCCCCTGCTGGCTCATCCCATTCCCTCACGCACCGAGCCAGCTCCCATCAGTGGTGACTTCACTGCCTTCAGGTGCCCTCCACATGGGCAGACCATGAGTGCCTGTGGCTGGCAGCTCCTTCCAGCTGAAGACAGCTCCTTCAAATCATTTTCCCCCGAAACACAAATGGACGGGCTGTTAGGCAGAGCATTAATGCGAAACAAATGTTTCAAGCATGTAGCGTTGACTTACAAGGGAAAATACAAGCACTTGGAATTTTTCCACCGCACGACGGCAGGGACTTTTGCAGCAGCTGTTTCGAATAGACACTGTGATTAATGGGGATAATTCAGGAATGAAAACCAGACCCATCGTCACACGTCTGACAGAGCAGTGCTACAGGCAGGCGGGCAGCCTTCTTTTTAACCAAGAAATGCCTCTCTGAAGGCAGCCGAGTTTGATCCTGAGGAACGGGAGGCACATGGGAGGTGCTTGGCTATCACTAGTATTTAAATCACAGCCCCGAGCTGACACCAGCCGTGTGGAAGGAGGTGCCGTCTGTCCCATTGCAGGGGCTCTGTCCTCATTCATGTGGGGGGGAAAGTGTCAGCTCTGCTGATCCAGATCGAGCCCCTGCCCCCTTGTACAGCTTGGCTTGTGTCACCTTGTGACAGTGCAGGGGCCTCTCCAGTCATTCCTGTCTGACCAATTCTTTTCCCTCTCCGTATTTCAGCAGCAGCTCGGTATCTCCTCTGATCAGGTCCCTGATCACTGTGGAGCACGTGTGATATCATTCTCTTGGAAATAACTTTATTATTCTCTTGTTCGGAAACCATTTGCTTTCAGAGATGGGAAATAAGCTGTGGTGATGCTCTGCACTGCCATAGCTTCACACTGGGCACGGGAGGTGTGGAGGGGACTGCAAGCCCACCATGCAGCTTTAGACTATGCTGAGGACTTGCTGCGGGCAGATGGAAATGCACATTCAGCCAGTGGCCTGACAGCTCTGCAAAGGGCCCAGTCACCTCACAGACCTGCTCCCATCAGACTCCATCCTCGTCCTCCCTCTGTGGGGCAGGTGGGGCCACGAGCAGGGGGAAGCCAGCTCACAGCTCCCACCAGCACTGCCCGGCCCTGGGGACAGCCACAGGCCACCCCATGGTCCTGGACCATGTGGGGATGGGCAGCTCCCACCCAGCACCCCAGGGACGGGCAGCGTGCTGCACGTGCAGCTCCTCACCATTAATGAGCTGTGTAACGTGCCCAAGCCTTCGGGCCCACGTGATAAAGCTCCACTTTCTTTCCTCTTTTTTCTTCCCTGAGAAAGCCTTCTTGCACAATGTCCATTTTTAGCACAGGCTGGAGCTGGATCAGATGCCTCACATGTGGTCTCCACTCCCCAAAAGGAGAGATCAGCACTTCTTTTTCTCCAATCGTTTACTAAAGGCACAAAATCTGAAGATTAAAAAATTTCACTAATTCCCTCTTTTCTGCTCTTACAGGCTGGATAGCTGTGCCACATTGACACAGCCATCCTCATCCACTCCTGTAACTCTTCTTTCATTAGACTGGCTAATTATGTGAGCTAAAATGAAAGATTATGAACTACAAAACCATAGGCTTTAGGACAAAAAATGATCATCAGCTGGGATCAGAAGACATCATGATATGTACGAGAACAATAAAGAATTTCTTCTGTGGCTGTAGAAAACACTTTGGGAAAAGAGATTTTTTTCAAAGGCTTTTTCAAGGCTCTCCCCTGTGGGTATAATGGGGTGTCCTCCAATTAACTGCCATGGAATCAATTAAGTTATTGCTCAATTCTTCTGGGAAATTCCAAACAGAACTGGCAAATGTTGGAGATAAAGCACTGAGCAGATGGACTGCTGATGGCTCTGAGATGCCAAACATTTTCCTTTTTATCACAGTCAGGAAGACAGTCAGGCTTCTGGGACAGACATCCCACCTTCTCTTGCTCGGATCTGTGTGGAACCACAAGGATGCCTCTGCCTGAGAGGCCCCACACACCAACGGGCACTGACACGGAGCAGCTCCTGCCCTGACACTCCTGGCCCTCCCAACTACTGGGGCTTCCACGCCAGCGATGGACCCTGCTGGCCTGTGTCAGCTGGTCACGAAACCAGGTGCTTTCCCAAACCTCCAGCCATTCTGGTTATTTCTCAGCTCCCCTATGGCTCTTCTCAAGCACAGTGAAAACATCGGTCTGTGCTCTGGCCTGCCATGAAGCCTGAGCTCACCAAAGCCCTGGGCAGAAGGGGAGAAGCAACTGAATTTCAGGTTGCTTTTTCACACCTGAACTTTTCAATACAACAGTTAGTGACCGTTCAAGTGGCACTGCTGGCAGGTACCAGGTCCTTGGCTGTCCCCACATCCCTCATCACTGTTGCACACAGAGCTGACCCAGCACCCACTGCAGCAGTGACTGGCACTCTTACTCTGAGATAGCTGTACATGCAGATAGACATCCAGTTGGTGAGCATCTTCTCCACCACCGATTCCGTCCTTCTCAGCATCAGCTTGGGGTTTTTGGAAGCTGAAGCATCTATTAGATCTACCAAGAGGTCCTTCATGATGCTAGTGTAATACTCCAGTTTCCCATGCAGCGCAATTGTAAGCAGGGAGGCCAGGTTACACCTGAAACACAGAACGTATAGGACTCAAGCCCCAGTCCAACAAGACTGAACTGCCAACTGGCACTAAAAAACCTAGCTCAAAAAGGCAGTCTCTCAGACAACTTCCATGACCCTTCTCAGCGGTGTTAGAAGTTTCAACACTCTTCCAGTGCTGCAGGACCTTGGGTCAGCTTGCACTCTCTTACTGGTAAGCCAAATGAGTGAGTGCTCTTTAGGGTTTATGGCCATCCATTTCTAATAGAAAAGTGGGAGGCAAGTGTAACTCAACCATCCACTGAAATGCATGGCCCCTGACAACGGCTGGATTGCTACAGGTTAGGAAGAAATCAGTCTCCTCCAGCTGCCAGGTCTTTGGTTTTGAAGCTCATACCTATCTCTGACAGCAAAGTCCTTCTGTTGCTCAAGAGCATGGACAAACACGATGAGGAAGTGCTTGTTGTTGAGTAAGGTGGAGAACAGCGAGATTCCTTCTTCCATGTTGGGTCTGCAGTTCTCAGGGATCTGAAAAAAAATTTAGAAAGCAGAGTGAGAAAACCCTGCTTGTTGTTTTCCTCCAGCTTTTATCCCCCTTGACTGCAGGGATGTCCCTACTGAGCACAGAGGTACTGAGAAGAAGTGCCCTTCCTCCCTCTGCCTGACACAGCCAACAGTCTCCCTGGCAAGGGACATGCAGCTGAGCCAGCAGGGCACTGGTAATGGCCCCTGCACTCAGTTCAGAGCTCACCAGGACACCTGGAGCACTGTGGCCAGTTTGAGGCTCCCCACTATGAGACAGATGGAGCAAGTGCAGCTGAATTAATGGGTGTACAGGAGAGGTGACGAGGGCTGGGTTTGGTCGGCCTTTGGAAGTTCTAATGGGAGATCTTACTGCAGCCTCAGCTGCCCTGTGGCAGGGCAGAGAGGACAGAGCAGTGCCAGGATGACAGGCAAAGGATACCAGATGGAGCATGGGACATTGACTAAATATAAGGAAGGCAGTTTTCACCTTTAAGGGTGTCATACACTGGAATAAGGCCCCAGGAGGCTGTGGGATTTCTGTCCTTGAGGATATTTGGTACAGTTGGATGAGGCCCTCAGAAAACTCATCTAATTGGGGATGCTTTAAGCAGATCTCCCTTCCAACCTTAGCAACTTTCTGACTCTTCAATCCCTACTCCCTGTCCACTTCAAACCCAGCTCTGGGACAACAGCAGCTTTTACCAAGTCACTGCTTGGTAAAAGGAGGAATCTCACTTATGAGGAACTGTGACTGAGGCTGAAGTGATACACAGTATGACACATCTCAGGAAGAAGAGCCCTCAGCAGAGCCGGGAAGGATCCCAGGGCAACGCTCCTTCATGCAAGAGCAGATCCATAGATCTGCCTTCTCCGATCAGCCAAAGCTGATCCAATGCTGCTCTGTGTTGACGGTTAGCAACACCCAAAAGTGTTTGTTCTGTTACTGGGTTACTCACCTTCCATTCCCCCACCAGGAGTGGATGTGTTTCCTGGACCTGGGAGCCCACCTGGGAGCTGAGCTGCTGGGATGGGAGGACGTAGCACTCTTCGTAGAGAGAGGAACACTGGAACCAAGCACAGTGTTAGGGGAGGGCAGTGCACCTGCCCGGGGACTCCCTGTGTGCTGTGCACCTCAGGGGAACAAGATGGGAGCCATGTCATTGGGATTAAGACCACCCATCACAAAGATGGTTAGCATAGTTTATGAAGCCTTAAAATACTTTGCAAGAGCCTCTTGAATGAGCAAACATCACAAGGATGGGGAGAGGCAGACATCTGCGCAGACACAAGGCTGTTAGGGCAGGGAGACTGCAAATAGACTAATGTGACAGCTAGAAAACTCCCAGAAGAGAAAGCTTTATAGAAGACGAAATCAAAATAGAGGAGTTCTGGGTGTCTTAACATATGTAACTTTTGAAACAGATGGGAAAAATGTTTAAATCTCTAACATTCATATAGCAGCCTGAATCTTAAAGCCTCTAGTGTGCAGAGACATGGAGAGTGGATAACTGAAAAACCTGAGTAATAGCTACTAATGAAACACTCTGCAGTCATAAAGCATCATCTCACTCCTCAGCACCGACACACAACTGCCTCAGGGGTGACATACAGCTGTGGGGAAGGGCACGCAGCGACGCGGCAGGGCAGCCACTGATGGGAGTGACGGCACCAGCGTGTCTGGTGCCGCCCTGCAGAAGGACTCTGGGCAGACAGACTGGGACTGGGTACCCAAGGGACATCTTACTGGGAGCACCAGGCATCCAACTTGGACAGGGAGGGAGGAAAGGGAGAGACAGAGATGTCCAAAGAGCTCCTGAGGACCAGCTGAGCTGCTGGGAATGCTCAGGAATTCCCTGCCTGGAATAGAAATCCCCTCTCCCTGAATGTCAATGGCAGATTCACCCTTCAGCCACCCTTCAATCTCCACTGAATGGAATGAGGTGACTCTGGAGCCCTTGGGGAGAAGGAGAAGTCCCCAGAACTCTGCTCATGTGAGAGCTCTTCCAGAAGAGGGTGTCCAATGGCTCCCAGGACACTGCCACCACCAGGCTATGTCATGTGGAAGCAACCCCGACCTTACTTGATGCCCCAGGAGCTGTGGCTCCACTTTTGACGGTAATTGAGGCTGAAATACACGACAAGTAAATATATAACAGTGGAATGATTTTGTGACACTGTAAAAGCCCTTCAGCAGAGCCCTGATCTGGTTGGGAAGGACCTCAGTGCTATGAGGTGCCCGTGACACTCGCTGTCTCCTTACTTTGGGGAAGAACGTCCTGGTGACAAAGTGCTTGTACTCCAGGAAGGGGATCCCTTGGCTGCGGTTTAGCTCCTTGGTCAGGTCTGTCATGTCTGTCTGCAGCTCCGCGAAACCTTGCACAAAGAGACCCGCAGATGGTGAGAGCCCAATCCTCCACCAGGCAAGACAGGCTGGCACCAGAAACACAGCACGTCTCATCTCCGCCTCCTTGAGCTGTTCCCGTGTGGGGGCTGAAGCTGAGTTTTCTCTGAGCAGCAGATTCCCACTGGGGTTTAACCATCAGCACTGTAAACCTTGTCCCGAGCGCTGACAGAACATTCCTGCCCCAGGAGCCCAGTACCATGGGGTTGGGCAGGCAGTTCCCACAGGATGGGACCTCAGCCGACGCAGTGGGGTCATAGACTGTGGGACGGCAGGTGCTGACACCTGGATCACTTCTCTCATTGCTCTAGCAGGAGTGTGCTGCAGTTTCTGTTGCACCCACACTAAAGATTAGCATGGCCTTCAAGCAAACCTCTGGCACAGCTAGGGGCCATTAACTCCAGGACAGGGAAGCTGGTTGCACTGCAGATCAGTGGCTTGCCCAAGGCAGGCAGCAGGACAGCAGCAAAGCCACACTTCCAGCCACTGAGCCTCATTCCCAAGCCCTGTTGAAGCTTGTAGACAATGACAGAAATTTTCCTGTAAATAATCCTATAAACTTCTACAGCACAGAAGGTGAATGCTATCCCAGCATCCCCCTTCTAGCCCTGGGTCCTCCTCGGTGCCCAGACGGTGACTTACCTTTGCGGATTTCCTCCCGGATCTGCGACTCCATCTCCTCCATCTGGAGCAGGGTTTTCTGCCAGTAGCGCTCAGCTCTGCGGCTCTTTGTGCAGAACACAAAGAGTGCTGGAAAAGAGAAAGGGAACAAGCCTTTTGGACTCAGGAGTAGCTGCAGCTGGGATCAGAGAGGTTCCCTCTGACACGGTGCAGAAAGCTAAACCCAAAGTTGGTTTCACACCTACCACCAGTCTGGTATCTACTCAGGCAGTTGTCGATTTATCTGTAAATAAGTAAAACCAGCTGGAATATAATGATCATGCTGTAACTGTCATCTTCAATTTAGGTCTGGGTTGTCTGTATTCAGCTAACTGTATACTAATGTGTTCCAGCTGATTAATGGATACAGAATACAGGATGTTTACCACCTGTATTACAGTGTTCATGTCCGACAGTCTTCCCATGCCTCCAGAAATATGTTTCTAATGATGAGTGCTGCACTTAATAAATAGTGTGCATTACAGCCTTTATTAAAAATAAATTAAATCCCCATTAGAAACCACTCATTTGCTGTGAACTGGTACGTTTCTTGCTGCACGGTTGTGCTGGGCAAGCAATGAGCAGGTACCCCAGCCCAAGAACAGAAGTGTGCTGCACAGCTTCCACCCAGGGTCGCACACTGGTGTGCCTTCTCCACACCTGCAGCTAAGAATGCAGGCTCTGCTCTTCCTACTCTGCCAGGCACCTGCCTGTTCCTGATGACAGGACCTCGGGCTAGGAGCACCTCTGGGATGATCTGGGACAGTCATGCCTGTGAGTGAGCCCTGTGAGTCAGTAGGAGCCCAAGACCAGTTTCTCACATTCTTCTTTATTTTGTATTATAGTAGCTACTAAGGTTTTGGAGAAAAGGGTAAGTTTATAAATATCACAGGCTCAAGTAACAGACTTGAGCTGCAGATTCAGCCAGCAAAAGTTCTGTGCTGCAGGGAGCTGTGGAGCCTTGGTGCTGGTACTGGCTGCGTGCCATACAAACAGCAGCTACCTGCTGCACCCAGACCAACTTCAGGTACTGCATAATTGCAGCACTTGGAGTCACCTTCACCACTCCACACGCAATGACAAAAACCCCGGCACAGCCTCGGAATGCATCATTCTTTCCCTTACCTACAACAGAAAGGACCAGCAGGATGCTGCAGATGACGATGGAGACAATGATTGCGGTCTCTCCTCCCCCAAGGTGCAGCATCGCAATTGTGTAGTTGAACTTTCCAACTTGGATCTGGAAAGGGAGAAGGAGGGAGGAAAAGCAGGAGCTGAGCAGCACATTGCCAAGGGGTTGGGAGCAGGGAGGGACACAGGCAGGGTTCAGCAGACCTTCGCCCAAGGACGCACTGCCCACACTGGTGCAGCCCCCTGGGCTCCACGAGGGGCCAGGCTGTGCCTTTCACTGCCAGACCTGGGTACTCTGTGTGTTCAAGGGAGCCCAATTCACTTCCTGAACTCCTGGGGCTGCTGAGGCTGCAGCAGTGCCCATCCCAGGGCCACTGTGGGGCTTCAGCGGCAGAGCTGCAGGTCAACAACACAGCCTCACCATACCCACCCCAGAATGAGACAGCCCTTTCCTAGAGAGCCCATGGCACTGTACAGGACTGCCTGTGCTGCTCTACTAGAAAACCACTTCCATTAATCATCGACTTCCATTTTGGCTCTGAACAGACTTTGGATCCCAGCTGCACTAGCCTTTCTCCTCTTAAAGCAGAACTGCTGCCACCCAGGAGAAGGAGGGTTAAGAAATTTTCAAGTCCTTGAAATACAAATAAACTAAGGGAATAAAAATAAATAATAATGAGACCATAGAGGAGTAATGATCTTGTGGCCAAAACAGTGAACAGTGTGTCAGGAGGTGCTGGCTCTGCTCCCAGCTTGTACTTCTTGTGACACCAAGCACAAACCACTTGAGCTCAGTCTTTGGGTCTCCTGATCTCCAGAAGGGAAGAGGCCAGCACACATCACAGGCTGGTGAGTTACTGGGCACCATTTACAAACAGCTCTTTGGGTCCTTGGGATGAAAGGATTTCACAGCATCATCTGATAAGGAAAACTCATGACCACACAAGGCTTTCACTTCTGGAAATGTGAGTTTCACTTCTCTCGAGGAATGAGAAGTGAGAGAAACTTGAACAAAAAAACCCTGAAACAAGGTAGGGAAGAGCTGGAATAATCTTATGATAACATCTGTGTCACAGAGAACCTCTGGGAAAGGTGCCCCCTGGGCACCTTTGGTGTACCACCTGAAATTCCAGCAGCTGGAATTCTCAGTTGCTGAGCCAAAGCCGTGCCAAAAGTGGGGCCTTCTCATCACCTCCATCACCAGACACCACATCGCACACAGCTCCATCCTCTAGAAAATCCAGCCCTGGCTCTGGGAGCACTGGCACAGGCACAGCTACTGCCAGCAGAAGGCTCCGGACACAGAGAGCTTTGGTCTCCACCCTGGCACACTGTCTGAGAACCACGGTGCTGGACAGGGACAGGAGCCACAGCACTGCACAAGCATCTGGGCAGGTTTGCTCAGCAGTCTCACAGCCACCTGCCCGGCCCAGGGATCTCCACATCTTCCCTCTGAAATGCTGCAATAAGGCTGCTCCTCAACATGGTTTCAGTCTTTTTCCCCATCAACTCAAAGTTCTGCATTTCTCAGAGGAGAAATCCCATGCCTGCTCTTTAATTCAGTGTTTAAACAGTTTGGTCATGAACAAAGATGGGTCTGAAGGCCTTGACAAGCTCGTGTATCTGGACAGGTCTACTCAATTCTTGGTAAGACCCAGACAGGGACCCTTGCACACACCTGCCCTGTGTCACCAAAGCTGTTGAGTGTGTTATAAAGCAGCAGTCACCCATGGAAGAGATGGCAGGGATGGCCTGAACCATGTCTGAAGGTTTAGCAAGGGTGCACAGGTGTGAATACAAGCAGATTATTTAGCTGCACTTTCACTGCTGGTGCACTCTGAACAGTCTTGTGATATTTAGGGCTGGGTATCATTCTCCTGCTTCCTGGGGACCCACTAAGGCACTGTCCTGAATGATTTATGTCACACCAAGACTAGCAAACTCATAAATCCCTTTTCTTCCCCAAAGGGATTTCCCTGTTTCTCAGTTCTTTAAAAAAAAAAATTACCCTGTTTAAAATTTCCATTAAAATTACTTGGGAAATTTTGCTACTTCTGCATTACCACATTTCCAGTTTGCAACAGAATTTCATATGCCTCAAACTGTTGCCAGTAAACTGGACAACCCTGTCAGCAAACTGGTGGCTCATCCTCATGCTTTTCTTCTGGGCTGCTCAAGTCTACAGCTCCTCAAGTCCCTTCAGCCTTCCTTTTCCTCCCTGCCCACACTACGGGCTCCCACCCATCCCACAGCCCTAACCCTGCCAACACAAGGACAGGAAGGGGGCAGCAGTGTCTCAGACCACAGAGGTGGAGGCATTTTCTCTCAGATACAAAGAGCCATAGTCACATCCCTGGATGGCAACGGATTGCATATGGCATGAGGGAAACTGAGGGCGAGCACAGCACTTCAGTCAAGCCCTCTGGAAAACAGGGCAGCACCAAAGCATGGTGAATTTTGCAGACACAAAGAGGAACAAAAGCCCTGAACACCGAAGTCTTTGCAGTGACAAAGCAGCAGCCCCTGGAAGCAACATGAGTCTGTCTGGCCCTGGTACTCCTCTCATACTCCTGGTCACGTGCAGGGACCCAGCTTGGTGAGGGTCAGACTGTCACAGCCATTCGTGGCCCTTCTGCTGGTGGGAGCAGAGCAGCTGGCTGAAAGTTGTAAGGAATTCCCCAAACGTATCTCATGGGGGACAGAAAATCACTGCAAGTGACAAAACCTCACATGCCTGAGACCTCACCAAGCCCCAGCAGAACTGAGTAACCTCCCCCTGGCACAGTGCAGCACCTCAGCAGGCAGTTGTCCATGTCCCATGACTTGGAACGTGGCAGCCCCTCACCACAACTTGGGCAGCCTCCATCCCACTGACCAGCTGCCCCGGGACAGCTGCCAGCACGGTGTGCTTTGTGCACCCTTCCATCTGTGCAGCCTTGTGCGGGGTCACCAGTGGGTGAGCTGGGCAGGTCCCTCACGCACAGGGTTTGCAGCAGGACCCCTCCACCCTACATGCCCACAGTGCAGGGGCTCTGGAACTCACCGTCACAGGCAACTGCCTCTCCGAGGTGCTCAGCGACTCATTGACGGAGCAGTGGATGACTCTGTCTGAAACAATCTGGATCTCACATGAGATCAGGCCGATTTTCACCTGGTACTCATTGCTCTCCAGGCCCAGGCTGTCAGGCTCCTTCTAAAGACAGAAATAGAATCAGGATGTCAGGCTGCAGAGCAGCAGCTGGAATTGCAACTGATCTTCCTGCTTTACTTTCCATATTCCCCACTGTTTTGCAGACCTGGGAGGACTCTCCCTCACCAAGGACATCTTTCCAGCACTCCACAGGAAAGCCAGAACCAGGCCATTCCCCATTTTCCTGTTTCCCATTCCTCACTCAGCACAGGGCAATGGGATGAGCAAGCCCCTCATGGAACCTGGAAAAATCTGCTTTTGATCTGGCCTGCTGTGCACTGAAGATAAAGATGTAAGCGCCCACCTGGGAGGGGGAAGGATGTACAACAGAGGGGACAGCCAGGGGATGCGCCTGTGGAGCCTGAGAAAGGGGGAGCACATTTCTGGAGCACGTTGCAAGCAGGGAGGATATCCTGCAGTGAACAATGGCCTTTGAATTACTATTGCTCATCGTCCAGGCCACTCAACTGCTGCACCCTGACTTCCTTGTGAGCTGAGCTGAATTCAGTAGTCAAAACAGAAGATTGCATGATCTGTTTCTGCAGGAATAAACACCTATTGTCAGGCTCGTCTGCAGCACCTGCCTTGTTTCAGGCCAGTGCATGGTCATTCTTTTTCACACATCCAGTATTTCATTTAGTCTCATGCTATGACACTCTCCCAGGCAGCTCTGTCTCAGAGGGCATCCTCAGGCCAGGTTGCATCTCCTGGGACAGAGACACACAGGAGCAGCATGCTGAGCCTGAAGCATGTGCTCCTGCCTCTCCAGTCCCCAGCTACTCACTTCTCTCTCCTCTCCCTGTGGACGGTCACTGCACTGGTACTCAGGACTGTGGAGCTGCCCATGGGGGAGCAGGCAGCACCCTGCCCATGGGGGAGCAGGCAGCACCCTGAGAGAAGCAGAGCTGTAACAGCCACTCTCTTACATGTATGACCAGAGTTAAGGGCTCGCCGGGATGGTGCTTGATCCACTTCTCCTTCTTGGCTGTGGAGAACTGGGGGTCAGCATAGTACTCCAGGCTGAACTTGCTGAAGTGCAGGGCCTCCTCAGGGTACATCTCCTCATCCAGAGCTGGGCGGTCATCTGTGTAGAGGCGCCCATTGAGGTAGAAGTCGACGGGGGCAGGCTTGCTCCCCACAGTGATGTTGGAGGCAGCTGGAGAGGGGCAGGTGATCGTGGTGTCAGTGTGAACCCTACAGCACTGCAAGCAGGAGAGCGCGAGAACATCAGAACCCAGCACGGCGAGCGCTCTCAGCCCATCCTGAGGCGTGGGCTGAGGCCTCAGCTGCACAGCCCAGCCATCCTCTGGCAGTGGACACACAGCCCCACTCTGTCACCGGGCCACACCCAGCCAGGACACCCACCGTGTGTTCTCTGCCGATGCCACGGACAGCCATGGACACGTTCTGGACCAGCCCAAAGCCTCTTCCTTCCAGGGTGATGATCCTGCCCCCACTTTTAGGAGAAGGGAAGAAAGAGAGGGTGACTGCAGAGGACAGTGCAGCAGCAGGGTATGATGGCTGTCTCCCTCCTGTCCTCATCTCTTTTCCCAGAGATGTTTCCCAGCTGCTTGAGCAGAAAATGTGACCCAACAGCCAAAGTCTTCTTCCTGCTTACAGTAAGGATCCACACTGCTACCATGGTATCAGGGAAGGAAGGAAGGAGGAGCAGATGCTGTGGTGGAAAGCGAGAGGGCCTCTTCCAGCAGCAGGAGACATCCCCTGCCCCTACCCATGACTCTGCCCCTCTCCCTGCCACTCAGGGACCTGCAGAGAACTGTGAGGCTTGAAGAGGGGAAAGTCCCTTAGAGGCTGACAGGGATCCTGCATCTCCTACGAACTTCTGATTTAGATCAGAATGTGAAAGTTGTTGTGTTTTGTACCTGCTGGGGGGAAAATGTGACCCATGGGCCTCTCACTGTGCAGTCAACTAACAACATGAACGAGCAGCACTGATGTGCACAAGGCAGAGCAAGGGCTGGAGAACCCTTCCTCCATATCATATTTGACCTGGTTAGAGTATTTGCCAGGGAACAGTCAGGACTCACAAATCCTATTATGTGAAGAGCACTCCAGGCACAGTGACTTTGGCCGTAAGGCCCCAAGGTTCTCTGAAGCCTGTGGGTATCACAGGTGGTTATGATCCAAGTTTCTAACTAGGAGCCTGTCACATCTGCAGACTAGCTTACAATTTCTGTTTTGGTTTAAATTTTGTTTATACGAATTATTATTTTATCAATATGGTAACAGAAATCAGTTCCAGCTAAATTTTTACACAAGTTATTGACACCCTCATGGTCAACAGCCCAGCAGCATGGCCAGCAGTCAGACTGCATAAGCCACCACACAGGCTGCAGAAGTCACAGTCCCTGCACTCTGAAATTTGGGAACTGCTGTAAGTGCTAAGGAAGCAGACTAAGGTGATGGAGAAATATGCCAGTGGTTTCCCTTGTGACTACAAGCAGGGACATTCTTCCCCTGACTCTTTTTAGACAGCACTCTCGACACTCAGCAGTTGGGAGCCTGCAAGGGGCTGAGCCTCGATGAGTCATGACTCTGCCTTTCCACTAACATTCCCACAGCCTGCGGCCTTGGCGCTGTGCTTGGGAATGCCGAGAGGCGGCTTTGTTCCAAGGATCAGAGCACCAGAGCCTGCTCGTGCTCGCCCCTGGGTGTGCTGCTTCCACCAAGGTCCTGCCGGCACAGCTGCTGGCGTCCCAGATTTCCTGGTCAGCCCTGGATTTTCCAGGCTTCACAGCTGAGGAGGGTGGGATTTCGCTATGATATCCAAAGGAACAGAAGCCTGAGTGCTCCACAGAGAGACGTGAAATTAAAAGCAACACACTTTAAAAATTAAATACTGTGACCTCGGAGAAGGTTGAAATCCAAAAGTACAAATCTCATCCTCCTACAGTTTTACTGCCAAGAAAAATCCTCAGGGTCTCATTAAGCTCCCACCTGAAACCTCTCTAAAGCACCCACCGGGTATGCACGGTACAGGTACTAAGGCTGACATTTTTCCACTCCTAAATGCATCAAACCAAGCTATGGACAGTCCTGGTGTGTGAGACCTCTTCTACTCCCGTGCTGGGGTGCCCTGGAGCACCCTGAGAGCAAGCTGCAGTGCCCTCTGTACCCATCTGCAAGGTAATGTGTCCAGTTCCAGGGTTGGAAAGCCCCTTTCTCCCAGTAGGACCCTCTCCCACCAGCCTGGAACTGACCCTCTCTTTCACAGGCTGTCTTGGCTGGGACAGGATCTCACCTGATTTGGCTCTTTTTGGGGTTGATGTCTGATATAACCGGGTTCTTCTCATACTTGAAAGTGATGTTGAGGCTGACACAAGACTTGTTCTCAAACTGCACGCAGACTGGCACAGCCGTGGTGAGCTCGGCGGCGGGCATGGTGCAGGTGATGGTGCTGTCGGTGCGGCTGCGCGGGAAGAGGCAGGTGAGCTGTGGCACAGGCAGCGGCTGGAGCCCGGCACTGTGGCCTTGGGCAACCCCTCGGCAGCCAGGCAGGTGGCAGCCACAGGGGAGAAGAAGCTTGCAGTTACATGCCAACTGCCTGTTACACTTGGCCTGCTAATGAGCAGTTCCCAGCACACATCATCCCAGCTGCCAGACCAGTTCCCCTACAGCCACAGGGAAAGGGCAGGCAGGGGAATGCTCTGCCAGCATGGAGTGGTGCCCCCCACCAAAACACCTGCCCTGCTTGACCACCTGGAGGCCAATACCATCCTTCCTAATGCTTTGTCTCTTGTCACCAGCCCAGCCCTGCTCTCACCTGAGGTCAGTGCACTGCTTGGAGGAGTTGATGAGGACACGGAGCTCTGAGCCGACATCCAGCCTGCTACCTCTGATGGTCACTCTGGTTCCTCCAGCCTTCGGGCCATTCGAGGGAGCTATGGACTGCACCAGGGGAAGCTAAAAACAAAGGGGAAATCTGTTTTCTAGCCTAGTAAATCCCCAGCTGGATACTCTACACCACACATGGGAATTGATTCAGAACATGTAAGTATCCAACACTGTGAGGCTCAAACAGCAGCACAGCAAAGCTTTCACTGGCAGGATTTCAGAACTAGAGGAGAGGTACAAGCACTAAGGAGTGAGACAATACAAAATCTGTGACTCTCTGTGGTCTCTAAATTCTGGCTATAAATGAGACATGAGGCCAAACAGAAGCCCAGGATCCCATCAGCCCCTTCAGTTTTCCAGCAGGGGGGTCCAGAGCCAGCAACAGCTCCAGGTCCATTACGAAAGGAAATTTCTCATTCATTCCCTCTCCCACCACCTCTGCCCTTCCAGATCCATGTCCTCCTAAATGCAAGGAAAATGTTAAAGCCCCACCGGATGATGGCTTTGAGATTGGTGAAAACAGACACCTGGGTCTATATAATTGAATACCAAACCCCTGCTTAAGGAAGCTTAAAATCTGCATCTCTTGAGGCGACGACAGGAACTAAAGGGGAAGTTACTTTGCCTCTCACCATTTGCAGCAGAAATTAGCGTGTATGTTATCTGTGTTTGCAGCCCCTGGAAATCTTCCTGAGATTCATGAGCTGGAGGCTTTGATAACTCACGTGGCACTGAGCCCTTGTGTCTGCTCACAGGCACCCCAGGAGAGGCTGCTGGCAACGTCCCTGCTCCATTTGAGTAGGACAGCCAGGGCAGAACAAATAATGATCTCAAGACCCTTCCATAGGGCAGTGGTAACTCCCTCTCAGACAGCACATGCCCTGAGGCAGGAGGCCCGTGGGGGCTGGTCCTGCTCACCCCTAGGCCGCCTCTCAGAGCAGACTCGTATGGGCCTGTGGAGTGCAGGCCGAACCTGCTGCTAATGCCTTGCCTGGCAGTCCTCACTACACAAACCCATGTATTAACAGCTACCCTTGTCCTTGTCCTACGTTCAGATGGCTTCATTCCTCTGTAATCATTTTCACTGTTGTTTCTGACCGTCACCCACTTTCATAGGATCCATTTTGTATTTCTCTGGGTGTCTGTAGGGAGCTGTCTCCTGCCCTTGGCCCTTAACCCATGCATTGACAAGTACAGCTACAACAGGAGAGAGGATTGTTCCTGTTCCCCAAAGCCCTCCAGCTCTTCCCCTCAGCCAGAGCCAGTGGCTGCTGCTCTCAGTGCACTGCCAGCACCAATCGCCTCCATCGCAGCTTTGGCAAATCCAGCTCACCCACAGCCTGCTATAATGTTCTGAAGGGGCCTCTCCCCTCTCCTCAGCACAATTACAGCTGAATCCTATCTCTTCTAGACACATCTAATGGGGACTATGAAACATGTAGCACAGAAACAATATTTGCTATGTCACAAGGGACTTTCTTTGGAAGGGTAGCTCTGAAAGTCTTTTAAACTTTTCCAGGCAAATTGTATCTCTAACCAAGCTCAGATCTCACCAAGACCAGCCTTGCATGGTGTAGGCTACTCCATCTGCATGCCATTGATATGAGAGGAGAACCAAGAAAACTTGAGTGTTGCTTGGTCTGCAAATGGTGCAGAAGCAACCTTTTTGAAAAGTTGCAAAGCAACTTTTGGTGTGACACACCCCCAGGAATGCATCATGCAGTGTCCCTCCCCACGACACATGTGCACAAGGCAGGGCACTTCCTCATCTCTGCTCCAAGCTCTGCTGAGACACACAGACTGAGAGACAGACAGACAGGCAGCTTTCTGCTGTGCCACCTGACCAGGAATGGTTCCTCTCCCGCTCCGGGGGGCACTGCCTGCTTCCCAAGCTTGCCCAGGAGCTGCCAGCACAGGGCTGCCATGGACCCAGGATGAGGTCAGGGACTGGCTTTGTTCTGTGCTGGTGCTTCCACAGGTGTTACCTGAAAGGCTTTTCCTCACATGCCAAGAGCTGGCGAAGGAGCCGCCTGGCCCTTTCCCACGCCACGTGCCCCTCTCCCCTCTGTCAGGCAGACAGTACTGGGCAGCGGGGATGTGCCGGCTGAGCACACACGTCCTGAGAAACCCCCAGATCCCGGGGCTGTCACTGGGTTGTACCCCTGTGGCACCTCAATCCACTCCAGAGTGCTGGATCTCCTGCTGAGACTGACCTGGCCATCTCCTTGCCAGTCTCTCCCTGTGCACTGCCAGGCCTGGCTCTGCCGGGTGCTGGGAAGTGCCGTGCCTGTGCCAGATGCATGCTGTGTAACCCGTAACCCTCCCTGAACTAAACACCCAACCTCTCATTGGCTACGGGGTGGGAATCACACTCCATGATCTGTCTTAAATTCTTCACAATGGCCACCAGGAATCAAACGTTTTTTCCTGGGGCGTCGAGTCTCCTCCCAGGCCAACAGCTTGCACCATGGGCTGTCCTGCCCCAGCTGAAGCTGGAGCAGAGGCACAAAGGCTCAGAGCACTCTGCATGCCTTGGCACCCACCCGCTGGGGCTGCCCAGGAGTAGTGTCCAGCCAGGGACAAGGGTCGCGTAGGGAAGAGAAGAAATGCATGTATTTCTCTCAGGTTTGTAGAGATGAAAGCTGTCTTTGTGAGATGGCACAGCACAAAGCTATAAAGGGCTTTTCTTTGAACAATGACAGAGGGTTAGCTCCAGTCTAATCCCTACACATTACTTCGTGCAAAAACTAACACAGTCTCTGCAGCAAAAATATCAGTTCTAAATAATGTGAATTCATGGAATGTAACTTACACCTCACAAAGGGACTTCACAAATCTCAAAAAATCTCACAGGTTGTAACAGCACTTTAGCAAAAGAGGCAGAAGAAAACTGAGCTCCTTTTATAGCAGGAGAAACGTTAATCCCAGCTGAGCCTGGGAGCACGGCTGTGCCACCGACACCCTGCTGAGATCCTGCCAGATCCCGCTCAGGTAACCACAGGTGAGGAGACACCGCAGTGGCTCCTTGAGGACCCCGATATGTTCAGTTGTAGATCCCATTTCCCAGCCAGCTAGGGAAGGTGGGTGGAGCTGCAGGCTCACTCTAAAGGGTGCAGGAATCACCAAAGAAATACTCAGGAGATGGCTACTCACCACATAGGAGTATCGCTCCCTGGACCTCCCTTCCCGGCTCACATTAACTGTTACCACATCTGAAAACGCCTCCTGAGCCTCTCCGGTCTGGCACACGATCCTGTGGATGGATGAGGTGGTTGGCAGCAGTGCCTGGCAGCAGGGATGGGGATGGGCAGGCACAGGCAGGGGACATGCAGGGGACAGGGCCCTCCTCCCCAGCTCCCCCAGCTCACATCTCAGAGACGACGTATCTGTCGGGCAGAGGGGTGCAGTGCACGCTGCCCACCCGCACGGCGGCGAGGACGTCGCTGAAGCGGCGGCCCAGGTTCCTCCCACGGATGGTCAGCAGCGTGCCCCCCTCCAGCGGCCCACGCAGCGGCTCGATCTGCAGCACCAAGGGACAGGGCATGAAGTCAGAGGATCACAGAATCCTACAATGGTTTGGGTTGGAAGAGACCTCAAAGATCATCTAGCCCCATCCTCCCTGCCATGGGCAGGCACACCTTCCCCTAGACTAGGTTTGGGGAGAACCACCATGAGCTTCTGGCCTTCATCCCTGAGCCGGTCCCTGTGCCCACACCCCACTTGAGCCCCATGAAGCAGAGAGAATCACTCCTCACACTCCTGCTCCCCTAGCAGGCCTGCCACCACTCTCTCCTTGCTGTAGCTTGGCAAAGGAGAATCCACCACACTTATGTGCTCAGTTTGGCACTGGGGTTTAGTCACAAGGATCACTCCAGCTGCAAACACATCTAGGGTGAAATATCCTTCCTTCCACGCCCCTGCTTTTGAATCCATCTCCTACAGCACTGGTTTCACCTGGCAGCTGCTGTCTGCAGTGCTGTGAGGGGATGGGGTGCTGGTCATAACAACATCTCAGCACTGCAAGGGGACAGGATGTGACACTGTGCCAGCATTAAGAGGGCACCGCCGGACGGACCGACCGCACTGACTTCAGCAGGTGAAACAAACCCCTTCCAGCAAAAATGGCTCTTTTCCCTTTGCACAGGCAGCGGCACACAGAGCCAGTGCTACACTCCTGGTGGCACCAGCTGGCCAAGGCTGGTGGGGACCCACCACCAGGCTCAGTGCCCCCTTCACTGGTTGAGCTGCCCCTCTCCAGAGGGCTCTGTGAGGGCTCATCTGCTCGCATGACTCCAGAGGGTTTGGATTTACCAGTCACTTTTTGCTAAGGAAATAGCGACAGAGTCGGTGACGCTCTGCAACCTGAACTGTGGTTTCCTTCCATTATTTTCTGGGGAGTGCTGATAACATTTGATGAGTATGGGGAAGGACAGACTCGGGGGAGCACCTCTCCCCCACAGTGATGAGAGGGAAGCGGCAGCAATGGGGATCCTGCAGCCCCTCTGTGCAGTGTTACAGCACCTGGATCACCACATGCCTCCCTAAGAGCAGAAATCTCATATCCTTGCCAATTCTGATGCTCACATCCTTGCCAGTTCTGATGTTTTGTGTCTCCAGCTTCTCTTTTTCTAGGGACCCCATTTTAAGATCTGGTCTATGTATTTTCTTTGCTAGTTTTCAGGGATCAATTTGTTGGCTCCCACCATACCTCTAAGCAGAGTCCCAGATCCAAAGGCCTCCAATAAACATTAATTTAACTACAATTTAAGTAAAACACATTTCAAAATGCATGATGCCCAAAGGTCCCTCTGCCACTCTTAAATCACAGCAGAACTGCAGTTTACATGTGCCTGGAGACAGGGCTCACAATCACATTTCAGTCATGCTCCATTAAATGCTTTCCTGATAAGGATCCTTCAACCAACCCTACATATCCTTCTTGCTTTTAGCAACTCTAGGAACTCTGGGGCATTTGAATTGTGCTGCTGTTATGTTTCCCACTAACACAATGAAGACTGAATCCTGTCACTAGCAAGATGTCCTTGGCACTAGGTGACTCAACAGCATAGAAAGTCAGTGAATAATTCAGTGCTGGTCTTGACCCTGTCCTGTGCCAGGAACAATGCCTGGATCCTCTTCTGTCCCAGCTGGGACAGGGTGGCTGGTCCCACCCCTCAGCACCACACCCCACCACACCCCATCCCACCCCATGCCACCCCATCCCACCTCACCCCACGCCGTATTGCCTTTGGGTCTTACCTTCCTAATCTCAGGAGCTGGGCAGACGTCGGAGACCTGGGGGGGCTCGGTGTGCAGCCTGCAGCTGGAGCTGCTCTCGCTCCAGAGACAGCGGTGCCCCACGTCCTCCCTCCCCAGGCACTGGGAGCAGTCGGCACTGCCGGTCCCACAGTTGTACACCTCCACTGAGCCACCAGAGACAACAGAAAATGTGAGCTCCGGGCCTGTGGCTTACACAACTTTGCTTAGCCTGAGGCAGTCAAACACCCACCCCCGCTCCCACCACCCCCGGTTACATTAATCCCAGCAACATCTGAAATCCAGTGGATGAGCAGAGCACTTGGCTGCCATCCTGCAGATTTCCCAGAAGGCCTCAGTGCTTGTTCTCACTGCAACATAATTTAGCGCTTTCTTTTCCTTTTTATTCCCCTTGAAAAACAAACAACACCCAAACTCGAATCTTTTTGTCAATTCATGCTACGCATTTCCAACTCTCAGCATCCACACGGGAAGCTCCTTGGTAAAGCTGGCTCCTTCCTGCCAGCAAAGCAATCACATTGCTTCCACACTGACAAAAATGGAGTGATTTGTACTCTGTACAGTGTTTACAGTTCCCTTCCCTCCCCCTGTGACCATGGGCCCCTTTCATTGACTTCTCCCTTCAGATCTGCTCAGCTCAGCTTCCACATCTTTTTCCTACACCGCCTTCACCTCTCCATTAGCTGGTGCCCCGGGTTACATTTCCTCTCTAGCCTAAAGACTTCTGCCACTGGAGTGTGGGTATCCGCTGAGATAACAGCCAGAAATGCTCAGGAAGTGTGGCTTTCACACCCTTTTCCCCAGAGGAGACCTTGCAGGAGAACATAAAACACAGAAACAGTCACATTTGGCACTTCTGCTCACGGGAGCATCTCGAGGCACTTCATGAACAACTAACGAGTCCCTCAGCGTCAACACTCTGCCGTGCTGTGCTAACAAAACTTTACCAGCACCAGCATCCTGCCTGTGCCATGCTAAAGTAACGTCACCAGTGCCGAGGGGCTCTCCTATTCTCCACAAAAAAAAGCTTAGTCCACCACGTCTGCAGTCCCCTCAGGGAGTTACACTGGGTGGTTTTCCACCCAGTAGCAGAGCTTCTATTCCTTCAGTGGACTATCAAAACAATAAAAGCTAATAAATACTGAAATAATAAACACCAATATCAGCGATTTCATTAAAGACGCTATAAAAAATGCCCACATTTATAACTGGCCTGGCAGATCTCTGTCCCTGATGCAAGGCAGCCTCTCTATTGTGACTCACACCAGCTGAATAAGGTAAGGAGCCAGAGCAGCCTAAGGGTCCCACAGGAACTCCAAATATTCTGGTCAATTCAGACGGATGAAAACATGGCCTGTGTAAGCGAGCTCCTTCTTCTTCGTGCAGGAGAAGGGGGAATTCCAACATGCTCTCTCTGCTGTGGTTCCTGCTCCCAGCACCACCCACATAGAGAACTGAGTCTCCTGCATATCCAAAACCCCAATCTCCCACCCCAGTCCTCAGGATTACTGCTGTATTATGGACACTATCTTCTTTCTGCAGGGAAGCCACGTGTCATGCCCGCCCATGTTAGTATTTCCAGGTATTTTGACTGCGCAAGACAATCCTCCTTCATACACAGGGATTTACCACAGGGAAACCTTTTTATCCTGGTCAGTGAGTGTTGGTGCTTGTATCTCTCTCCCTGTCACAGCCATTCTCCAAAGGAAGCCTCCCTTCAGGCTCTCCTACTCCTCTGCACCTCGGGTAAATCAGCCCCTTCTGCCACAACTGCTGACACTGTCGAGAGGTGAAAGAGCCTGGGAATACTGCCTCCTGGGAATACTGCCTCCTGGGAATACTGCCTCCTGGGAATACTGCCTCCAAGCAGAGCCCACGACAAGGGGCTCATCCTGCCTGGGCACCTCATATGAGCACACTGAGTCTGACTGCCCGCCTGCCTCAGCCTGCTCATGCAGCAAGGGCTTTTTTGCAAATCTGAGCATTCTTCCCAGAGATCAGGCCAGGGATGGAATGTGTTTAGAGATTTTATTGTTTCTCAACACAGAAGGCAAAAAGAAGACTCAATTTTCACAGCATGTGGAACCTTGATGCCACACTTCTGTGAAAGCTAAGGGAAGAGCCCCGCCCCAACTCTTTTCTCCTCTGGGAGGAATTCCTCCCTGGCCCTGGGGGCACCCCACATCCCTGCTGTGACCAAGAGCTGCCTGCATTCACAGATGGGGCTTGACCTTCCCTGGCTGTAACCGGGATGTCCTAGGTGCCTGTCTGGGCTCTGGGCTCACCTTCACAGGGAGCAACTCTGGGTAAGTATGCTTTTTGCACGTGCCTGAGAGAAGGAACTGAGCTGTGCCCGGCAGAGCCATGGTCTCTACCCTTTACCCATAAACTCTGCCCGGGTTTGAGAGTCATTCAAGCTGACCAGATGAGAGAAGCATAAACATATTTTCAACTCAGACCTGTCATCATCTCCGGACTGTCAATAAATCTGTCTGGTCTGTCCTTCAGCTGGAGGTTCACTGGGAAGTGATGGCTTTTTTCTGATGTGTGGAGCTGCACACAAAAAACAAGTGAAAACTTAGGAAATTTAGTAAAATAGAAGGTCCCATACCCACACTACATGGATGAACCTTCCTTGTGAGGCTTCTCTGACCACTGCTTCCCCAGACACGAGGGTCTCATCTATAGCAGAAGGAGCAGGATGGCTGTTTTGTTTTAATCATTTTGCTGAGGTCCCAGTGAAGGGCACCGGGACACAGCACACGCCACAGTGAGAGCAGAGCCCTGGTTTGCTGCTATTTTTAGCAGAAACGGACAGGAAAATGAACAGCCTGGCCTGTCTGTGCATTCTCAGTGCTGGGCTGCAATACAGGTGACGTGATGGGAAAGTGCTCCTCTCCAGCTTCCACTTGCAATATTCCCACTGGTGGAAGCCCAAACGTTTGCTGTCTTTTGGAGGTGCAATCTGCCCTCTGACAACCACACACAGTTCTCTAGTGAGCAGCACAGCATTTTCTGAGGCCAATTCCTCATTCAAAATAAAAGCTACAGAAATAGCAACCCTGAAAGGTGGCCAAATTTTTTGCCTGAACTGAACTCTTCCCATCTAGAAAGGTAAACAAGCAGCTCCTTCCCAAGCCCCAGGGGAGCAGAGGTCAAAGCCACTGCAGATCCCTATGGATCTGGGAACACAACACCCGTGATGCAGGAGTGCCCTGCCAGCATTGGTGCACACAGAGAGCCTCTTGCTGGAGGGGTGAACCCAGGAGGGAGGTAAGAAGGCAAGCAGCGTCCCACTGCTGAGTTGGAGGCTGGCAGTGAGACCCTCCCTGCCCTTGGACCTGGCCCTCACCATGGGGGAAGCAGGGCTGGCAGCCTCACCCCCCCGACTCACCAGCACACGTACACACTCCACAGCAGAGGAGTTCACCCACCGGGCTTCAAATGTCCTGTCTGTCCCAAAATGGCACTCCAGAGCTGTCTCCTGGGAGAGGGAAGACAAGGGCAGAACAGCTGCAGCAAATGTTTTGTGCAGTTCTCTACCTGTCAGCTGAAAAGGCAGGCATTGCGTCCCACCTTTGTTCTGCTGTCGGTACCTGAACTGTGTCCAAGTCAAACAGGAGATCAGAACCCAGTCCCTCTAGGAACATTTTTACCTTAGAGAAAGTCGCATTGGCGAGTGAGATCGTGATGTCTCGAGATACTCCTGTGGGCATTGGCTCCAAAGGGGCAGGTACAATTCGAGGACAGTCAATTTTCTTCTGTTAGGTACAAAAACAAGGAAAAAAGAGGTTAGCTGGGTGCGTGCTGAGCATCCTCAGTGACAAGACAAGAGGACACATCAGGGCCCTTGGTAAGACTCATTTCACTGGGAACCAGGTACTGCCAGGTGCACAGCGACTGCATATCCATGCCTCAGCTGTGGCTCCAGCAGTGACATGGTTGGAGTGACACTGAAGGGAGCCACTGCCACCTCCAACAGCAGATCTGCCAGTGTGACCCTCTCCTGCCTGCTGGAAGCCACGTCCCATTCACTGCATCAGCACTCCTGCCAGCCCCCAAGGAGAGTCTGTGTTCCAGGGCCTCCATCCTGCACAGCGGCACCACAAGGCACAGGGGTCTCACGTGTGTGTGGAGGGAGGATACGGTGAGCCACAGGGGATCCAGTGAGGGGCCTGCACTAGTAGGGTAGCTGCAATGAAAGGCTTAAATAAAGCTGAAAAATGATTTTAAGAGGACATCTGTCCCCCCAGTTTTGTTCTCATTTTAAATTGATGTCTCAGACACTGGAGCTGACTCAGAATTCCAGCCCGTATGACAAGCCCGTCCTGTTCTCTCATGAGATGTAAATCACAGTGCGAAGCTACAGCAAAAATGAAGCCAGCTTCTCTGTGGCCCCAGGGTACATCCAGAGTAACGCCTGTGACAGTGGAGCCATTGGGGTAAAAGACAACAAAATACTTGGTCCATTATGCAGAATCATTTGCAGCAGGCAAGATTTCCTCTCGCTTGCATTAAAGGTTAGCCCACTGTGGCTCCGCTGATGCCAGTGCTGCTGCTGCTCCAAGGAGAGGCCAAGCCTGCCCACCCAGCACCAGGATGCCTGTCCAGACACATCCCTGGGGCCGGACATATCCCTGGGACCAGACACGCAGTGAGTGGGAAGTTTCTCTCCTGCCCTCTCCAGACCTACCTAGGGGTCAGGGAACTACCTGGATGTGCCTGTTTGTCTGTGGAGAACATGCTTTACTTCTGTCAGGACACTCATCTAACCAAGCACAGTTGGTGCCACCGAAACAAGGAGATTAAATAACAGAGATGCACATGATAAGGGAAGCAAAACACCAAAACAAAGCACAGGGGAGAGATTTCAGTCCCAAGCTTCTTCCAGGGGAATCAAAAGAGTTAAAATAAAACCAGCAGGGCTACAAGAAAATTCATGCAAAACCTCCTATGGCCTGGTGTGTCCTTGCATGTCACTGGAGCTGGCAAAGCTTCCCAAGAGAAATACACTTTAGAGGACTGATTAACTTGTCGTCTTGCAGCTCCTTCTCCTGCTGTTCACCAGCAACCAGAAACAAAGCTTCCAGCTGACTATATCCTTCGTGTCTGGATCAGAGCAAAGGGGCTGAATGTTTAAGATGCTGTGGATGGAACTGCTCTGATGCTGCTTTCCCAGCGGAGCTGCGCTCAGGTGCAGTCGTGCCCGCAATGGTTTGTTTACTGAAAGCTCTGACTACATGAAGAGGCACCGTGTTTCCTGGGCTACAGAGCACCTCATCCTGCAGCTGCTCACACAGATCAGCAGAGAGAAAACAGAAACATGCCCAACCAGCTGAGCATCCAGCCCAACTGCACCTCTGGAGTAGGAGATCTGAGACAATAAAGTCAGTCCTCTGCTGATCTAGGACTAACCCAGGGCAGTCCCCAGCCAGTCCCACAGCCCTGATGTCAACTGATGCCACTGCTGGAACTGACACCCCCAAGCCCCTGCCCCGAGCAGCAGTGCCAGTGCCTGGCAGAACACGTAGCATGAGAACCCACAGGCCCTGTAGCTTGGCAGGCGCCAGACCTGCAGCACAGCTCCCTGTGCTCTAGTACAGGGCAGACACCCCACAGGAGCAACTGTCGGGATGGTTTTCAAGTGCCCAGCACCTGTCCAGACAGCCAAACACCAGGCACTGGAACCTGAAAAGCAGACAAAGCAGGACGTGCTTCCCCAAAACACCTGGGTATGCACAGGGAGGCACAGCTGATCCTGACACGCCACCCTGCGCTGCTGGGAGCTGCCACCCAGCACAGACTTTTCCATTCCCATTTCCCAGAGATTTACACTAGACACGATCGCATGGAGCTACAATGTGGTGGCTCCAGCTCCATCCCCATCCTCATTACCTGCACTCACAGCCACCCACCTCCCCTACCACTGGAGGAGAGTGGATGCCACAGCCGGCCCAGGGCTTCAGCCTGGGGCTGAAGGCGGGACATCTGACATGGGGCCAAACTCCTCCCAGTGACAAGCATGGGGAACACTGGAAGAGCTGAGCCAAGAGCAGAGCACCAGTGCTAAAGGGATATTCAATTTACGGTGTAAAAGCTTGGCTTGGATCTACAGCAGATTGATTGCTAAAAAGCCAATTTTATTTAAATTACCTTCAATTTAAATTTCAGAAGCAGGGACACACTGAGTCTCGGTTATTAAAGCTACAATTTGGAAAGGGGAGATTTTCTCCTATAGACAAGCACCACCAGTGGTGCTCCAGCATGTTATTAACATACAGCAACCACAAGTCAGAGCCTAGGGAATGGTGGAGTATGGCTGCGTTTCTCACACTGAAACCCAGGCGGCCCAGGATGTGGAAAAGCAGCAGCATTGCTCCAGACATGGGAGGTGATAGAGAGCCAAGGGACAGAGCCCACTGAGGGCACCAGGACAGCTGAATGCTTTAGCCAGGCTGCCAGCCTCCTCCCACACACACCTCGGCACGGCACAGCACGGTGTGATGCAGCTGCAGCTTCACCTGCCTGCACACACCCCTCTCCTGGACACCAGCTGAGAAGGGTGCCCCAACTCCAGCCGGGCACAAGCTGTGCCAGCAAGTGGCTGCTGGAGGAGGCTCAGAGCCTGAGCAGCAGTTTAATGGGCCTCACCTTCATCTGCAGCGCGTTGTCACACTGCGAGTGGTTGGAGACGCAGGTGTAGGTGGAGGGGCACCAGTGACACTTCCACCTGGCCGAGAGGCAGCTGGTGCACCTGGAATGGTAAAGGTATGGGTGAGAAAAGCAGAGTTTAAGCTGCTCAGAGGAGCCACACCTAGGCCCTACAACCTGTCTTCACACAGTTCAGTCTACAATGGTGCCCAGAAAAACCCATGGCAGGTGCTGAATTTCGCTCTCCTCCTCTCCCTGGGAGCCAGCAGGGGATGTGGGCAGAGCCCATCACCCCCAGACATCATCTTCCTGCTCCAGGCCACAGTAGGCCAGGAGCCACGCACCTGCTGAGCATAAAATGCTTTTCTGCCAAAAACACTCTTTCCCTCCATCCGCCTCTCCAGGGAGCCGGCCAAGTCAGGCCTGATGAAGGCTCTCCCTGCTGTTTGCACAGGCACGGGAGTGCCGGCAGGTAGGACACGGGGTCCCTGCAGCCTGGCCCTGCTGTTACACTCCGGAGAGGTGGATGAATTTTGGAGAGTGGCACCAGAGTCCCCCTCCAGCCCATCCTCCTGATGGGGGTATGTGGCTGCTCCCGCCCAGGGCTGGAAAGGGCAAGAGAGAATGTCCTTCCCTTCCTTGTGCTTCCAAGGATTTCTGGGGAGGCTGGTTCTGCTGCTGAAGGGTTAACAGACCAAGCTTTATATAAAAATATTATTCATGTTTAAAAGAAACCCAACATGTCCAGATGGCTTGAGACGACGTGAGGACCCTCCTCTGTAAATCCCTGGTATTGCATCCCCCACGATCCTGCCAAATCCTGCTCAGGCCCCCAGCCACCCACTGGCAGGGGCTGTGCTCTCCCATTAACTCCACACAGGGAGACCCTCGTCCAGCTGTGTGCTGGCACCTCCCACCTCCAAACCACCCCACCTGCCTCCATCACCCCGGTGCCACCCGTGCCCCGCCTGTGGGGGCCCCGCTGCCCACACACCGGGGTCACTTACGCTCTCTTTGGGTAAATGTTTCCAGTCCTTTTGCAATCATAGATGGTGAAACTGGCCTGGATAATGTTTTTGCTGTTGACCCGGAGAGCAGTTTCAACCACCACGTGGTCTGAGAGAATCAAGCCAAAGAATATTGGGTTGCAAGAGCCCCTCGCTCACGCTCACGACAAGACAGTAGACAAAACAGACCCTTGGGAAAACAAGGGCTAAATCTGATTTGTTTTCCCTAGGGCTTCCTCCAAGCTGCATTTCAGAGCTTGGACCAGCCATTCTTTGTCCTCTGACTTTCAGCCCTTCCCTCCCAAATCAGTGCTTTACACTACCCTCACAGAAAAGAACATTGTGGCTTTCAGCACAAAATTTCAGCGTGTTGTGCAAGTGTTAATTAGCAGAGTTAATAATTGTCTTCACGTACAGTTGGTGCTAAATTATATTTTTAAAAAATGTGGTAATTTAAACATGTTAGTTATCATGTTTTAAAACCCTGCTCACTTTCCCCATGACAACAAACACTCAGAGGAGAGTGGAAATCCCTTTTTTGGCTGCTCAAGATGCCATACTACCTCCCCTCCCCCCAAAATTGCTGAATTTTTTTTTCTTTGCAATTTTGCCATATAAGCACCAAGGAGAAGAGACAATGCCTCTTTCAGAATATGGACAATAAATCAATGCATTGGATTCCAGAAATTCATTTGGACATTGCCATAACCAACAATACAGAGCAGTTAATGATCTCTCATTCTTTGGATAGCTGGGGAGAAAAACAACGCAGCTTTACAAATGGGCCTAGGAAAAGTGGGATTTTCAAAAGGACTGTCTAATTCTCTCTCTACTGAAGTCAGCCATCTTCAATAGCGCATTCACTCCAGGCTCGAAGGATGAAAATTTAATAAGCACTCAAGTCTGGAATGAAGCACTGAACTTCTCTGAAGGCACTATGAGAGGGGCCGACTCCATTGCTAAGTGGCTGATCTCAGATGGGGTCAGCTCAGCCATCAGCTCGGCCTCCTTCAGCTTCATCCACAGGCGCTCGCCCCTCCGCAGGCAGCTCCAGGAGCCTTGGGATGGGCCTCCCCTGTGGTACCATCAGAAACCAGGGGACACTGCAAAGCTCCATCTGGTTCAGGGACTAAGAGTTCCTGAGCTCTTTTAGGCACCCACTTGCTCTTTTTCCAGAGCTTCTCCTGAAAGGCAGCACGTGTTGCAGAGGGAAATTAAACAGAGCAACTGAAAATATCAATATAAGGAGCAACATTATTTGTCCAAGGCTGAAACATTTTTGGCTTAGTGCTTACTAAATCTGAAGCAAAAACTCAAATCAGATAAAAGTAAGTCCATTAACTGGCATTTAAATTCTGATGTTTAAAACAAAAATTGATAGATTTGAAACACTGTCACTTTGTGGAAAGATGGTGGAACTCCTACGCTTCAGAGTCATATGCCCTGTAAAAGAGAAGCAGCTTTGGGCTTTTCTTCCCTGTATGCATTATCTGCATATACAAATGGAAAAAGAAATGAAGTCTATTAAAAATTATGTCCACAAAAGTAGTTAGAAGGAACCCAGCTTGCTTGCCTCTACATACCTTGGTCATCAGGAAATGCTGGATATTTCTCACGTGGAAGCAAACTGCAATAAATAAATTGGTTTACATAATCTCCAGCAACTCTAGCTACTGTGTGGATGTTGTTTCCGTAGTCACATGAAATATTTGTTCCATTCAGGTTCGGGATAGTTCCATTTATTTGTATTATCAGGGCCTATATTAGACAAAAAAATCAGTTATTTTATGTCAGAAAATTACATTTAGAATTTTTCAACATTTTAGGAGCTTTTCAGAGGTAGACGACTCCAAAACAAACCCACAGACAGGGTCTGTCTTTAAACAAAAAATATTTTGATGAAAACATTAAAAATACAATTAAAATAGTTAAAAATAGCAACAATACAAAACCAGAAAATGAGTTGACTCAGCCATCTGCAGCTGATCATCTGTGTTTGAAATTCTGCTACCCTCCCCTGTGTGTTTGGTGCAGCAGCTCTAGGTTCTGTTTGCCTACAAGCATCCAGCCAGCTCCAGGGTGCAGGAGGTCACCCCCAGCCCTCTGAGAGCCTTGGCCTGACACAGCAGCTCAGCAGAGCATCCCCCTGACCCACATGTGAGCCCTGCGGAGCCGTGCTCTCTGCTGGAGGAGCATGGAGAGTTACCTGCCCTGAGAGCAGGTAACGGCTCTACGGACACTGCAGGTGATTGATTTATTACTGGGATCAAACGCACCGGGTTCTCTTTGTCAATATTGATCTCGGGCTCCAGGATGGTCATGGAGGGGCACTGCTGCACTCCTTCACTCACACTCGCCCAGAAGTTGGCCCCTGTGGAGTTGGTGCACTCATGCTGCAAAGAACACCTGCAACGGACAGGGGAACAGCTCATGGTTGATGAGTTTTAAAATAGGTGATAAAATTGTTGAGTTCCTTGTGAGAGAAGATTCTGAGAAAATCCTGTGTCTGCATCTTTTTCCTCTATCTATGCAGCTAAGCCTCGGTGTTTTCTGCTATATTTAAAGTGTCTGGTTGCCACGATAAGAGCACACACTCCCACAGCACCAGTGGAGCACCAGGATTGAGGGAGGCAGGAGAAGGCCAGGCTTAATCCAAACTGAGGAAGAGGAGGTGACATTCTGTCCAACATCTTCAGTTTGCAAACATGGAATCTAATTTTGAATATCCTTTTCTGAGTGTGATTGTCTTCTACTCATAGATGAGAACTGCAAGGGCAAAAGCTGGTCTTTCACAGGGTGTGGGCTCTCGCAGTCCCATGGTTGGATGCTGGCAAGACATTCTCTGCACTGGCAGCTGCCTGCAGTGTGACAATGCAGCTACAGTGAAGTCCTGGCTCTGAAGAGCATCCCAACCCTTTGGGCCAGATGTAATTGTTTTTAACAACACGTATTTCATAAGGAATGGACAAAGACTTATGGCAGTGTGACTGCAAGGAAATACAAAAGACACCAGAAATTCTTGCCCGGGCTTGAGGGCCAAAGGACATGCCGAAGCACACCAGGACACGCCTGGTCCTACCTGGTCTCCATCGTGCACCACCCGCAGTAGGCGTCAGCGGCGGCCAGGCAGTCTGTGCACGTCGAGTACTGGCTGCAGGCAGCCACCTTCACCCGCGTCATCTGCACGACAACAGCACAACTGCTTCCAAATGTTTTACAGCACCACAGGAACACCCGCCCAACTGGGACGTGCCAGTACGGCCACGCACGGCTGGGGACGAGACAGCAGTGCCTTGGGCTGTGACACCCCTCAGCCTGCAGCGCGTTCACTGACGGCAGCGGCAGCAGACCCTGGCACCACTTGGAGGCGGGTGCTGTGCCACAGCCACCCACTGAGGGACCAGCCCAGGCAGCCACCTGCTGCCCACTGGGGACCTCCAGAGCCTGTCCCAGGGCAGGGAGGACACCCAAGGGTTCGGGTGCTCCACGGTGTGCCCAACTGGCTGGGCTGGGCTGGGCTGAGTTGTGCTGAGTTGGGCTGAGCTGAGTTGGGCTGAGTTGTGCTGAGTTGGGCTGAGCTGAGTTGGGCCTGAGTTTGCCTGAGTTGGTGCTTTTAGCTGAGTTGGCTGGCATGAGCTGCCCCTTTCCAACCAGTGCCATGGCAGGAGCCATGGGATGGCCAGGCTACGGAGAGTGACACTGCACCTTTCAGAGGTGTCAGATGGAGGTGGCTTCACAGCTTGTTCCTCCCTGTGAAAAGCTCTCATCCAGACCTGCAGAAAGCTCCTTTCCAGGTAGAGCTCAGTGCTCCCTGGCTATTTATGCAACAATCAGAAAGTAGCACCACTCTAGAAACCTTGATTTGTAAAGAAATCAAAGTACCTCTGGGAACTCGCTTGGCAGGAGCAGTTGGAGAGAAAGCATGTGTTGGTTTCTGCTTTCTCCTCCTTTGATCTCTGAACATTTGTGAAGGAAACCTGAGTGGTTTGGTACAGCAGAGACTGAAAATGTGAGGTGCCAAGAGCTCTGAGGTCCCACTAGGCAAGCGCACCGGGGACCCTTGAGCTCCTTGGCCAGACCCCTACTTCACCCACAGCACCTTGCTGCTCCCTGGCCCTGTGGGGCTCAGCAACCCCATCCCAACCCTGTCAAGTCCTGTGGAGCTTTCCAGGATGCTAATTCCACCCAAAAAAATTAACTCGTTTGATTTATTGGAAAAGAAGCAGTCAGAGGAGGCACCACAAGCACCACACTGGGTGTTTGTTCAGCCTGAGCAGAGAGCACAGGCTGGGGCTGGGGGCTGAGACAGTCAGAGGTGTCCTGGGAGGGGTCTCTGAAATGATAATGACCACTCTGCACAGAATTAGGGCTTGGAAAATACAAATACAACATGTAGCATTTGTGGCTATGCATCTGTTCTGACAGATTAAAATGTAATTCAGGACAAACCGCCAGCGCCTAGAGCGCTCAGCTCTCATCTTCCTCCTCTGTTCACTTGACAGACATGAGGTCGTCTGTCTGTACCTGCTGCGGCTTCTCCAGGTCTCTGCAGAGCACTCTTGCAGAGGGCTGAGCAGAAACCACCCCAGGGAACACTTCTGACAGACAGACTTTTTGTCTGCAGGATCTCCTAAAAACCTCCCTAAAGACCACGTACTCTCATCTTGGGGTTTCTGTACAGGAACAACATCTGTTTATTTCTGCACTCCTGTCAGTGCAATCGCTTTCAGTATCTTTCACTCTCCTGTCTACCTGGCCACCACAAACACCTCACAAGCCAGGCTGCATGGTCTGACCACCCCACACAGGAGAATGGACAGGCACAGGTACCTCCCCAGAAACCCCTTTGACATCCCAGCCAAAGCTCTGAACTTCTTGTCTCTGTCCATTAATATTAAAGCAAATCTTACTGTCCTGCCCCGCTCCCAGCTCGGTGCTAAACCAAACACGTGATGTGCTCAAAGCACTGTTTTGTTGAGGACTGAAAATCTTACCTGGTAGGAAGTCATCAGATAGAGATAGGTGGGATCAGAAGGGTCAAACTGCATGATGGGGTGGACAGGTTCTCCATAAGCCACTGAAATGGATCTCCTGCTAATAACCTTCATGGTAGTGTCCAGGTTAATCTGTAGTGAGAAGAAGCCACTAAGACACTCACTGAGACCATTTTTCAAACACTGGGGAGAAGATTATTTCTCCTTGGTATAAACAAGAATCAAAGTGGTATCCAGCAGTGCCCCACATTGTCAAGCACTGTAAATATCTGCACACTTTGCAGGCTGCATGCACAGAGCTTTCCTGGAAAGCCAGCTCTGTGCCACTGGGTAGGCACACCCTGGCCCAGAAAGCCCCAGCCCTGCTCAGTGACGCAGGAACTTCATCACCCATAGACCCTCTGTTGGAGAGGCTGCCTGGAAAGCTCCTGGACTGAGGTTCTACCCCTGCGTGGCTGCATCCAGCACCCACAGCAGCATTCCTCAGCTGTGTCCAGTAGCCACAGCAGCGTTCCTTGAGTTACCCTAATGCAAGTGACACCAGCCTTCAGCCCTCATCACATACATATGCACATTTCTGTAGAGAGAACAGTGAGTTTTGAAAGCCTAATGAAAAACAGCGAAAATCAGCAACAGGGTTGTACAGCATGGCATCCCCTGCTCCCTGCATATTTGAAAAATAAGTGTTGTCACACCCAGCCAAGAGAAGCTTCTATCCCTGCTGACTCCAGAAGACCACGGCAGCTGCCACAAGAGTACTGAGTCCTACCTCGCTTCATGAATCGCCAGCTGAAGTGCTAGCAGTGATGGAGAAGGCTGCACAGCATCAGCCTGCCTTTCAGATTTCTGAACGTCTTGGCATTTGACTTGAAAACTCAGTAAATTAAATGTGGCATTGCTGAGAGGAAATAACAATAGGGCTACACAATTTCTCGTGACAGCCACTTTTCAGCTTAAAACAGAAGGGGAGTGAGGAAAATTCCTGCCTCCCTACTAGTAAGGGAAGGCAATAATCATAAGGATCAAGTATGCCTCTCCTCTCTAAAGTCTGGATTAATTAATTAACATAGGTTAATTAATTCGTACACTAGAGCAGCACTGACATGCCCCAGTAAGACAGCACAGGCTCAAAGCAGGGGTTTCTCTCTGCTAAGAACCATATGCAAGCACTGCAAGCTATGCAGAAAAAGCACGGAACTCCCATTGTGCCCATTTTAAAAGCTGGCTAGCCAGAGGCTAAATGATTTTCCTGGGATCAGCCAAGATGCCCATGAACCAAGCCCTGACACCCTCCACTGCAACCATCCTCTCACCCTTCCTGCTGAGATGTGCTCCACACGTGGTTGTTTCCAGATGCCTGCCCCTGTGTCCCTCTGCCTCCTGGGCACATTCACCTTACACCCTCTCTATGCAGGCACTTTCCCTGGTTCCTGGGGGCTGCAGACCCTGCAGGAGAGCCCCCGCAGCAGCACGGAGGGGCAGCGACCACCAGTCCTCCTGGTGCAGCAGGCTGGGGCGGGCTGGAGGACATGAGCTACCCTGGTGCTGATGGGAGCAGAGTGCATGAAGTCCTGGGTAACCCCACCACAGGAGTGTGTCTGTCTGTGGCCTTCCGGACCTGAACATGTGGGGAGTCACCAGGACAGACCCTCTTCCCCACCATTGCCCTCTAGGGCACTGCACCCTGGCACAGCTTGCCCTGGCCACGCTGCCCAAGTGCTGCTGTCCCTCTCATGACTCCTAAACGTGCACTGGCCCTCACCAAACGCCTGTCTGCAGCACAGAATCAGATTAATTTCCCATACATGCCCCTGGCAGCCCTAATTGCTGCTGGCAGGAGTTGGTGAACACTATTTCTGCCCCTCTGCTGTCTTTTCTCAGGCAGCAAATCTGAATGATAACTCACACAAAGTATCTTGTGTCCCGTGCCAAAGAGCAAGGAGCCCTGAAGGTAAAAGGGCTTCTGGTTATGCAGCTGTGTTGTAGAATTAGATTACAGCTATCTGAGCAAATTATCCCAGCAAAGGGTAGCCAGGAGCCTCTCCCTAATGGAGGCTCCACAGATAAGGCTGTTCTCTCCAAGATGATAATGGAGCAGAGCTGTTAATGCCGTGTGAACAGGCTGCACTGCGTGTGGCATGTGCCCTCCAGCCCACTGCGCCCAGCTTGGTGCCAGCTCCCTCCCACCCGCCCAAATTACCTGCCCCTTTGGGCAAAAATCAAAGCAGGGAGTTCCTTTGTGATTGTTCCCACACTTCTGCCAGGAGCATTTGGATGCAAGGAGAGAGACTGGATCAGTTTTCTTCCCTCCAAGCACCTCCAACTGTCCAGGTTGCAGCAGTACCCAAAGATTTCTTCACTGCCTGACGGAAGCAGGTGCTCAGACCAAGTCAACAACAGACGTTGTCCTCTGGGCAGACCGAAGGTGCTGGAAGGGGAGGCCCCGACACCCGCCCTGTCCCCAGCCCTGCTGCCCCATGCTGGTGCTGCCAGGCCCTACTTGCCTTCAGGAGTCCTCCACTGGCGGTGCCCAGGAACACAACAGTGTAGTTGTTGACGCTGGCCACTGCCACTGCGGTCAGGCCACTGTAGGTGAAGATGGGGGTGGCTGTGACGGGGTTCACGATGGCCAGCGGGTGCTGGAGGTGCGCTGCTCCACAGTCCAGCTGCTCCGGCTGCAGCTGTGGAGAGACACAACTATCACTGGGCTGCACAAACGTCAGTGGGTTCCCCCACCACTCCCCTCGGGCACAGCAGGATCAGACTGCTGAGAGCTCCACTCTGCCCTGCTAAAGCCCCTCACTGCTGAGTCAGAGAAAAGTAAAAAGCAAGTGGCCCTGGCAGATGAGCTGCCTGCAAGGGTTGGCATGTGGAGAACGAGATCAGTGTCGGTACTCCCATGTCGATTCACTGTCAGGTGCCAAGGGGCAAAGGCAGAGGACAGTGGTTAAGGACTTGCCAGTGAGCCGTGTCTCTGAGCAGGCATTTGGCTTGTTTGGCCCAAAGCAAGACAACAGACTTGACTCTTCTATGCCAAATTAATTAGTGAAATTGCTGCATGGTAGTAGCATTTGCAAGCAGGACTGAATGCCTTATATTCCTCCTACCCTGCCGAGACACACCCAAGATTTATGACCCCTCTCACCCCAAATTCTCCGAAATTCTCATGTAATTTCTGCTCAGACAACTTGCATGGATTCAACAACAGCTGAACATCACAATAGTCTCACTGTCAACAATTCACCTGCAGCAGGTGCAGTTGGAGCTGTTCAAATGACAGGCATGTTTCAAGGGCCATTACCACATCACCTATGGTGTCATCCCAGGTTTAGCCCAAGGAAGGCCGTGCCCGTGCTGTAACCCTCCCTGTGGCAGGCAGAGGTGGCAGGGCTGGCATTCTGGCAGCAGCAGGTATCCATAGGCCACCTGTGCCCAACCCAGGCCCCAGCCATGGGAAGGACCGGTACAAAACTCCAGCAAGAGACACCCAGCGGGGTGCAACCCACACCCCAAGGGTGAAGTACGTTTATGCCTTTCTGAACCCAATCATGACATGGATAGCCTGGCCACAGAAACTGTCAGGAGTGTGAATTTAAGCAGAACAAAGTCAGGGATTTGAGGTTGTATCTGTCAGGGAACTGGATCACATGCCTCTACCAGGCAGAAGGTGACCACCAGCCTGTCCAGAACAGTCCCTCCCCCCTGGGCTGCACCACGGCCTTGATGCTAATTCCCTTGTTATCATAACTCTTTCATCGATGGAACCAGGCTAAAGCTTCAGCTCTCTCCCCTTTCCAGATGGTTCAGAAGATTAAGCAAATCTTTAGGTTTTGCAGCAAGAGCCTGAGACCAGTCAGGACCTCCCCTCCTCTGCCTGCACCCCGCTTTGGGGTGCACCTCCTGCCTCATGGCCATCTGCCCCCCAGCCAGCACCATGTATCTTGGGTTGGTGCAACACATTCCAGGGCAGAAGTGGGAAAGAAACATGCTAAATCCCAAAATGTACACAAAGCAACGGTGCTGCGCCTGCAGGAGTGAGGGACGGTGTCCCCACCCTGGAGGAAGGGAAGAAGCCTCCAGCAGAACCCCAGAGGACTGGTGACCTCTCTGCCATGGCCATAGCCACCCCAGGGGTCAGCTGGCATGGGGACCACAGGCCATGGCACTGCCCACTTCTCCTCTTTGCATGGGAGAGGACAGCAGCAAACCCCACTGGGAGCGGTGGGTGCCAGGCAGCCCTTGGGGTGTTGTAGCAGCCAGTCAGCAAACAGCACAGGCTACCTGAGCACCCGGAGCCATAACACCCCACAGCATCCTCTGCACAACAGCACGTACCTCTGACTGCAGGGATCGTGCTGCTGCAGCCACATCCAGGGCTCACGTCCCTGCTGCTGCACCGGCACAGCCATGCTGCAGCCAGTGACGGGCTGGGTCCTCTTCAAAAAACCACCCTGACCTTGGTCCCCTGCACCCCAGCAGACACCAGACCCTGTGGCCACCACTGGCTGCATCAGACACGGAGTAACAAAGACTGAAGTGAAAAACTTCCTCTGTTCAGACAACTGCCAAGCAGGAGGCAGCACGTTCACAGCTGCGCTCCATTCATAGGGGACCAAGACAAAAGGAACAAGTTTATGGATGCAATGCTAAATGCATTTTGCAGTTTTATCACACCTCATTCTATTAAAAAATAAAATCACAGCCCAAATTCTTAAGTGTGTATATTTGCCCCGTCACTGGGTGACACTTTTTTTATACCATAGAGAGAACACAGCAAGCCATTCATGTTTCTGATTTAATGGTTCCTTCCCTTCACAACCAGATCTTTAGAAACGCGCTTGGGTTTATTTATTTGTCTTGGGGATCATTAACTCTAGCCCCTCTTCATTGGTCTTTATCAATACTCACCACCTGAAGCTCACAAAGCTCCTTCCTACTGGGAAACTGAGGCACAGAGGCACCTCCGGCCAGCTGGGACCCCAAGGGACACTCAGCACCTCCTCTCCACAGAGAAGACAGGAGCCAGGAGCAGCATTGCTGCCTGCCAGTCCGCTGGACACAGCCCTTTCTTCTCGCAGGTGGCCAAACTCACGGGAAGTCCCTTATCTGCAGCGCCTGCCTGCCTACAAATCACACATTTCAGAGCTCATATCAGCACAAAGTGTTTTCCACAGTAAACAGGATGTAACTATTCTAACCCAGGCCAAGCTTTATTTTGGCTGCACACATCCTTCCTCTGAAACACCTTTCTTCAAATGACATCAGTTCTTCCAAGGGATGGATGGGCAGGAGGAGACATATGGTATTTCCCTCTGCCGTGTCCCAGGGAGGGATGACACGCTGTGCTGCTGCTGCCTGTACCCCACAGCACCAAGGGGACAGCTTAACTCCCACATGTTACAGGAAACAGGATACGGCCAAGTCACATCCTTCTGCAGGCACCAGGCAGTCACCACAGCTGGGGAATTGCACTGGATGTTTGGGATAGAAGGCTTTCTCCATGCAGGATGGGTTAAATTCTGCTCCATCTTAAATCAAGCTGCCCTTCCCTGACGTGGGGAAAGCACAAATATTAAGTTTTCTTCCAAAACCAATCTCTTCCTATAATCTGCATTTTAAAACATCTTGTAGGCATTTACTTACTGCCTCTATTTTTCTGTGACATGCTCTGGGTCCTCAGTACCTCACAGAAATATGGACTGAGTCTAGATCTGAAACCTTCTGCAGCCAAAATGTTTGACTCTGCCACTCTGATGCTGATGATGAGCCTCCTCAGGCACAAGTCAGGGACAGCCACAGCCAACCCTGGCTGAGCAGCACCGCTGTTACCCTGCACACTATGAGGAGGGGCACGCCCTGTTGTGCCCCTACATGCTGTGACAAGGAAGGGGTACACACTGCTGTGCCCCCACACACTGTGAGGAGGGAGGAGTACACACTGCTGTCACCCTGCACACTGAGATAGGTGATATTGCTGCAAAATTTCACAAGTGATGCAAATTAATTCAAATCAAGGGGCCACAGCTAAGAGGATGGTTAGTCAGATTAACCCATGAGTGCAATTGCAGAGACAAAGTGGGACAGAGATAAAAGATCTCCAGCCACATCAGAGCTCAAGAGTTTAGTTGTCTTCATGGTGCAAGTTCATTTCTTTATCCCAGGCCTAAAAGAAGCAGAAAAGGCGATTTCCCAGAATTTCCATTACAGCTCCCCAGCCCCGGGCATGCAGGATGTCCCTTCGGGAAGGAAGTCTGCTGGAAACAGAAGGAGGAAGAGGAGTGGTGAGGCAGCACTCAGGAAAACCATGAAATGCGCTGATTTCTGCATCCTGTGTTTGTGACCTTAAAAATAGTTCTCAAGCAAAGCTGGAGCTAATTTGTGACTCAGAAGCTGCAGTGCAAGGCAAGCCCTGAGCCCTGTCCTCCACGAGGCCGTGCTGGCTGTGCCACAGCGGCTCCGGAGCTCTGCAGCGAGGGGAAGGGGAGCCCGGCCCCTTCAGATGTCATATCAGAGGGGATTAAAGTGTTGGCTTCCAGCATGCCTGGAGTCCTGGGAAAATGACACAGTCGGCATCCGATAATCCGCTCCAAACTTGTTGATTTGTGGGACTTACCCATCATCTTCATAGGCTCAAAATTTGGCAGCTGCTCCCACACAACTGACATTTTCAGGCCATTAAAGGCTGTGATAAAAGGGCTCTACTTTTATCTCTTGCCTTCCTTAACATAAACCATTAGGCTTTTATTAACATTTAGGTATGACTCAGGGAAATCTCTGACTGCAGAGAGAATATTCAGAATAATTCAGATACTGTCTGAAGAGAACAGCAGGACATGGACTTGCCCTGAACAGTAGGGAGAGGCTAAAAAGCAATGGGGAAATACTGCACAGGAGAACAGACAAAGCCAGAGATGCCAAGCCAGCCCAGCTGCATTACGCAAACAGAGAGTACAAGCCCTGCTCTGTGTCAGACAGAGCCCAGACCAGCTGTGCTCCCCCAGCAAAGCCCATATTCCCCCGGAACCTTCCCGTCCCCCAGCAGTTTGTACACACAATCACGCGTTTATCTGCTGGAGTGTTGCAGTCAGACCTGTCAAAAACAAGCTTCTTGGGATGCCTGGAGCAGAATTTCGTCCTCAGAAGAGGACTCCACTGTTGAGGCAGTTGATGTGTAAGCAGTCTCCAATTGCAGTGCTGCTGCAAGGGCAGGCATCAGCACAGAGCTCCTCAGACTTCCCATCATATTTTTTAGGCAACAGGAGGCAAATCAATGTGCACTTGTAGCCAGTAGAGGCACTCAGGCTGAGAACCTCCAACAAAGTGAATCTGGACAAATTTTTCTCCAGAATTACCAACACTAAGCAATCAGGACCCCCACAGCAAGTTCCTCAAGTAAGGAAGCAGCAGTTGTGCTGTGTTTTGCTCATTTGCACAGTGCCAGCACTGGCCCAGGGTATTCTGCAAGCCGCCAGTGTGACACCAGTAATGGGCTGTCCCAACACCCCTCCATGTTCTCCCAGCAGTCACCCAGATCACGTCCTTGCAGGGAACCATTGCTCTTATAGAACTCATTCTTCCCTCTCTCTTCTCTTGACTCCAATCTTTTCTTTCCTGACAGCTCCTAAATTTCACTCTCTGCAGCCTCGCATGGGACCAAAGGCTGGAGGAAGGCAGGGTACAGCAAGCACAGGAAGGTGGAACACAGCTGAGTTGGGCCAAACCACTGCAACTCGGCGGC